GTAGAAGGTTTTTTACTGAGCGCTGAACACACCTGTAACCGTTTTAGTACTCTAGAGTGACATGAGAAAAACTGATTTTGATCTGATCTAATCTCAGATAAAGAAGATCAAGATACATTTCAATACTTAGTTTTAAAAAATCTGCCTTTGGAAAGACAGGTTTTTAGATCGAGGGCGTTAGAAATAAAGACAAGCTGTACGGTCATGATCAAAATAATTCTAGTTTTAGAAGATGCACGAGATGGTTGTCACATTGCGGGCACATTAGACAACCATGCTTGATCTCTATCCTTGCATCGAATCCTAACCAGATTGACCCTGCAAAATGAAATAATATAAGGTATGCTTCATAATTTCTTACTTTAATTTTTCAAGATTTTTTTTCAGACTACGTTCATATGTACAAGAAAAAGCGAAAGTGAAAATTCAAATGGTTTGATAAATTTTAAGTCAATCAAAAATGTGCAGCACAACATATTATGTTTCACTTTGATTCAGCATGGTTGAAGTAAATTTTAAAAAAAGCTAGTACCTTCCTTTTCCAATCTCCTTCAAGCTACCAGTTCTTCTATTTCGAGGGCTTTACACCTCTTGGTAAAATTTATTTTTATTATCATTACGTTATTAGCACTCGCAACAACAAAAATTGCACATCCTGCATGGTCCTTATCGCCAAGGCAAATTTTCTTTAGAAGTAGTATACACAAGCAACCATTCTACCCTAAGAGAAATTTGTAACATATTTTTTCCAACTGCTTTTTTGGCGACCAGTTAGGCACGCACAAAAAATAAAATGCACAGTTTTTGGCCTTTTATTCTCAAGAGTTAAATGGACCTGTTTCATCTGAATATCTCATCGATATCATAAGCAAACGCAAACGGCCTAGTTTCCTTTCCACTTTCGTTATAAACGTATGGCGCCTGATTCTTCAGCCTTATGCTTTCTGAAACGTGCTGCTTGACGAAATGTTGCCTCGTCATCACAACTCATGTCAAGAGGGCGGCAGCAATGACCTAGATTTGAACTGCATGTTCTCTTGAATTGGATGCATTCAGTAAACATATGTTTCCCACGTATTTGTTCATTTCTCTTCAGCTCTCACCTTAGGTTATCCTGCTCTGTACGCGTGCAACAATTTTCTTAGCTAGCTGCAAGGCCTGCTGGGCCATCTCGGCAGAGTACACCTCATTTGGAATCTGGGGAAAACACATTCTGTCTGGGTAACGCATGCGTGTAGAATCACCAACTAGACACTCTAACTGCATCGCTAGATTTGATAGCTCGGGGTCATTTAGATCGCAGCAATTCTCTAGAAGGTTGTGGACCCTTGTCCTATCTGTATCTATTGCATACTGTGCCGCCTTCAAAGCCTTCTCTGCCGCCTGTGAGGAAGAAAAAATAGAAAACTTCAACCCTGTCGATTTATGAGTCATGTTCAAGTTAATTCCGTTAAATGTTTCTTTCAGAAGCACCTCAATTAAAGATAAAAAACGATTTAAGTGTCTGCAATATAACTTCTACCACTTAAGAAAAAAAAAAGCCTTTAAGACCTTGGAAGAGCAACTAATGACATTCCCCTCCGCTCACAATTGACAAGTATATATATGGTCGTAAGGGAAAGCCAAAGAGATACGATAAGTTATCAAAATAAAAATGGCTTAACTTAACTAAAGGAATTCTATTATTTTACTAAATGCTATACCACAACATTGAAATAATGATGGCAGCACATCAAAACTATTATAACTGATGAATAAAGGTGGTAAGTCTCTAAAGAAACTGTGGTGCTGCGTCGGTGAGAGAATATAACGGGGTTATTTAATATTATCAACTGAGTTGATAACGTAGATCGGCTATCGTAAAGAGTTTTAAAGCTGACGTTTCGAGCGTTAGCCTTCCGTCATAGCAAAGGGCGCTGAAGAAGTGCTAACGCTAACGCTCGAAACGTCAACATAAAAACTCTTCACGGTGGTCAATTTATGGTATCAACTCGGTTGATAATACTAAATGACCTTATTACATCTTACGTTTTCTCTTACCTGGTGACATTTGAAGCATGCCCACTCATAAGAAGGTCTCTCGTAGATTATGTCATTGCTTGCTGCCTGGATATCTGCAACCGCTTGTTTGAACCAACGTCTGGCCTCCCCTGGTTGAGGATTATTCTTACGATGTCGTGGTCTTCCTCTGTATTCCCGGCGCTGCGTGTTATGTTCCCTTGCACGACCTGCCCATGAATTAAAGAAGCTACCGTAGGACCCGTCTTGATTTCCAGCTTCAGATCTTGTGCTTGGGCTACCTCGAGGCTCTCCTCTTTCCAACCGTGAAACTTCGCCCTGTATGTGCTGACATACCTCTTTGCAGAATTCCTCATCGCCAATGTTTTTATCAGGGTGCCACCGCAAATACATCCGCTTGACTATTTTTCGTCTTTTGTCTTCTGGAAGAGTCCACGCTTCCTCTAGAAGGTCTGAGATCTCATCGAAAACTCTCTGTCTGCTTCTTGAGTTAGGGGGCTGCCTAGGCCTATCACGAAGGACTATCGCATTTGAAGATGACTCGGTCAAACGGTGGAATTTGTACAGGTCCGTAGCATCGACAATTTTTTCTTGGCCATTTCCAATGTTGACTCTGTAACGCCTTTTCACGCGGCTGTTACATTCACTCGTTACTTCTTCGATAATTATAGCATATATGTAGGTGGCATCTCCTCCTTCTCTAACTAAACTTGGGTCATGCAGCTCAAATCCTACATAATCGCCTGGTTCAAATTCTTCAAAGTCGTCATTTAATAGGTGGTGTTCATCTTGAGGAATAAAGCTACCAGGCTCAGGAAGAATTTCTACCTCTTCCAAAGGGAGAGAGTCATCTGGTCGTACGCCCATAGTATCGAGCAGGGACTGTATGTCGTTTAGGGAACAGCTTAACATATGGGAAATCAACAACGCACTTTCTCCAAGAAGTCCAAAACACACTTCTTTGACCACGCGAGAGACCAACAATATTGTCCTGGTGTATGTGTCCGTCCCTGTCGCGACATTGACGTATACCTTTGAAATTTCTTCACCAGCGGCTAAAGTCTTCTTCACGATGTATGGAACTTCTGCTTCACTCTCTGGGATGGGATTTCCGTCGCAAAAAATTGATGTCTTGAGGCTATTTACGGCAAAAATCCCGATAGTGCAAAGCCTTTTCTTGATACTTTCAAACACGGTGTCATCAATATTCCTCTTCAGTCGACAGTTCTCGTCTCGGATTAACCTCACAATGCCATAAAAGAACTGTGGTGACGAAAGCTGCTGCTTAAGTTGGGTAATAGCAGTACTCGATATAGTTTCAAAACTTGGCGAGCTGATATCTTCTTTGACAATAGAGGATAGCATTTTTGGCCGCAAAGATTCTGGTAACTTCATCATAAGCTCTTTGTAGTTGGTACTGGCATTAACGCTATATACATTCATCTGGCGTGGGTCGAGCAAGAGATTCTGTCGGAAATTATACAATCGATCTCGGATACCGGGCGAGACATCATTGAAAATCAGCTCCGAAGACTTGTACAAATTGAGAGGCACCACATTAGCATTGCCGTCCGTCTCCTTGCGTGTCGGAGAAATTCCAGGTAAGTAAAGTTGAGATATGGCATTCACTTCTTCATCATCTTCCTGAAGCTTATCAAAGAATCCTTTGACTGCCTTGATACACACTTTTACTTCATTCGGGTCTAGTTTCGAACTGTGGCACTTGTTATGCAGCAAGTCTAACACCATGGCATAGTGGACTATAGTGACAGATTTTGAGCAGCCAAGCTTCAGGAACAGACTACGGAATCTACCGAATTCCATTGGAATTCCATAGAGAAATGGCCTGATCTGCAAGTCCTCATAAAGCTCAAGGACTGCTTGACGCGGTAGAATGAACTTCTTTCCACTTTCCACCAAAATGCAAGGTGTATTCGCTAAAACTTTCTTTGCATCACTGTTCTCGATGTTGTTGGTTTGCAAGAAAAAGTAGATACGTTCCATTACTTCAGTTAGAGTTAAACATCGTTCTTTTGAAGCATTTGTTTTTGCGCTGTTTTTTCCAACTTGCGAACATATATTTTGGCAGTGAGCAACCACAAGGTCCACTGTTGGCTCGTTTTGAATCTGAAGCTGGGAGACAAAAGCATTGCAGTAACTGTTTAAGTTGACTTTTGGAGGACAGGCATTGCGAAGATCAGAAGAACGATTCTTTGGATTAGCCCACCCTGGAAGTAAATGTGCATTAGTCCAGACTATTTCCGAGTGACTGACGGGAACTGCTCCTTGGAAGGCAAAATATGGTGTCTGACGACCTATGTAGCCTCCAAATGGTAGGCAAATTTCTTGTAGGCTTTCTTTGACAGGGTCCCCGGCTACAAATGGGATGTCGTAAACATCCTGTAACAATCCTTCAGCAATTACGTTTTTTCGGTTCATGAGATGATCGACCAAAACGCTCGATTTCTTGAACGTGACATCACTTGGAGCTGATGCAGCTTCTCGTGCAACTTCTGTGGCAAATGCCCTAAAACGTTCTTTAGACACGCGGAAAACGAGACCTACGCTTTTCAAAAATGTTAGCCATTCTCCTGAGTCGAAGGGCTTCGCCGGAAACAAATCTACCGAAAGCATGATGCGAAAAACACTGTTTCGGGGGTCATAAAAAGAGGATGCGGTCTTCAGACTTCCATCTACAGAGGGAACAAAGGGAGTATTTTTCAAACAATTTAGCAGTTTTTCCTTTTCATCATCCTCAGCATATTCCAAAATCGTTTTGCGGATGTATGTCAGGTGAGACTCTCGTTCCCCTTTGCAGAAGATTGAGAAATTGGGTAGAATGAAGGTACAATAGAAATCAACAGCCGAAAAGCAATGCAGTTTAAGGAATTTGAACAGCTCAGAAATACTTGATCGCTGTTCTAGAAACACTATGTTAAGCTCACTCTCGAGAACGTCAATTCCATTTCGTGGTATTCCAACTGGTAGGACGTACACTTTACGATCATTGAGTCTTATCAAGCCACCGTGCGTTGCCAGATAAAAGGGAAGTCTTCTTAACGTCACTCTGTCGTCATCTCCCAAGAGTCGTTCACTTCTGCTGAAGTATTCTAGGACTGTAAGACATTCCTGGGGTTCCAACTTTCCTTCCAGTGACTGCTCGTCTGATTCCATCTTATGGTTAAGTGAGATGAGAATTGACGAGGGAAACTTCAAAGATGATACAAGCATGCACACTAAGCTAACTGAATTTGAAGACAGAGAGGTATGTACGCTGGTAGATGAGAAAACACTTACGTTAAGCTCAGGCAAACCAACCTTTCTCAAGACATCAACAAGCTTAGCGTTAGAGGAATCCGCAGTGGTAAAATCGATAGCAAATGCTGCTTTTCTTAGAGGGAGCAGATAGTGTTTAGTAGTTGGAGTTGTGCCCATAGGAAAGAAAACAGCCAGTAGTGACTTTCGTTCTGCTTTTTTTGTCTCGGTTACTGGAAGAATGCTCCAGTCCATTAAAGGCTCGAGTGTCGTTTGGACCTGGTGAGTCTTGAGTTCTCCATCTTTTTTAGCATCATTCATGATACCATTTACAAGCTCAGAAAGGAAAATCCACGCTTTGAATATCCACCCGCGGTTGGGTATTTCCCTCTGATTGGGAGACCACTCAATAAACCTTCCGCTTCCATAGGTTTCCAGTGATAACGTGTGAGGGAGGTAGGTAGCGAATGAGGTGGCATCAAGAGGCCTTAGACAAGACAAACGATTGTCATCAAAACCTTTAAAAATTCTTTTGTAAACTTCATCATGGAGGAATATGTGCGGAGACCCGGGTAGAAGATCTTTGTATTGTGAGAGAAACTTGGGATCTTCATTTGAAAACAACTTAAGATGTTGGTCTTGTGTAAGAAGGAGAGGAAGACCAGGTAACGCTTCCAGAAAGTTCTCGTCATTTCTGCAATACAGTAACACAGTAGTTACTCCAAGAACACTTTTTAATGATGTTTTATGGACGTCGCAAGGAACTGGTCCAATCGAGCACAAACGGTCACCAGAGCTGAGCGTTTTGTAGAAATCAATGACCTTACGGGGCGAAACACAGCATGTCGTAACTCCAGCTCGCTGAAACGAGTTATGCAACGCTAACGTTGAAACTACCAGGTTAAAGCCACTTTCAAGTAGTATGTCCTTGAACAGCTTTCGAAGTCTTGCAAGATTCTCGAACGCTTCTTCACTCCTTCCGTGTGATGCTGCAAAGGGTCCTTCTACATTAAGATCGTCAAAAAATGCTTGATGCTTCTCAATTCCAGTCGGTGGAAGCCAGGTTATCTCAGCAGTTGCGCTTTCTTCGGTAATTTTCGATGCACCATTAAGGGATCTCTTCTTTACCACTGGTAGAACCTTTGCTTCCATCTTGTTCATTTCCTGATACACTGAATGAACCAGTGTCTTCCAGTATTGGTCGGAGGGAATTTTGATGGGGAAATATGACTCATAAACGTTTAGTTTGCTGATGATCTCACATTCAGTTTGGGGGCTTGCGTCTTGCGTGGTGGGCAGTTTAAGGAACTTACGTACTTCAACCAACATCGAGATGTAACAGGATGTGACAACATCTGTTAACAGCGCATTGTTCCAATCACTTCGATATCCACCACGGTCCCCTTCATCCCTCCACAAACTTCTTCTTGCCTCGTGGTCCAAGGCAAAATGTCCATTTACGTGAACTGGAAGGTTTGTCTCAAGAGGAAGAGGAAGAAAACAATATGCTTTCTTTTGTCTTGGGGAAGTATACCTAGAATGTCTCTCTAAGAGACATGCAACGCCACCGCGAGGAAGCATGCCAAGCTCTTGCCTCCTAAAAGCGTTGAGAATACTTTCTTCTACATCTTTTTCAAAACCAACCTTTTGCACAATTAGCCACTTTTCTGCGTTGCCACGAGTGTCTGTTATATCTAAGACGTAGGACACTTTTTTTACCGGTATCTTCCTTGGGTCGATTCCCCCTTTCTCCTTTGCCGATTTCCCAATCTGTTTGATGCAGTCGGTAAATGCTTTTCTTTTGGCTTCATCTTCTTTTGACAATACTGCTTCAACTGTATAGGAATTCGCCAATTTTCCACTTGCTTTGTCAACTTCACAAAGAGTTATCTTTCTGACGTTCTTCACAAAGAGCAGAACCTCAAACAATTCTTTTTTAAGCCCCTCTATCATAAAATCCAGTTCTTTAACGGACACACAGTTTGAACTTATTTTCGAATCGCGAGTCATTTCTTTGTTCCTTAGCGGGAATCTGAACATAGTTGCGTTGTCAATCTTGAAGTGATCCGGCAAGTAGCAAGGAAATATATCAGGGAATTTCTTCCTGAGGGTAGCTGTATCGTTGAACCTTCCACCTGGTTCTAAAGGCGTCGCACCTGGAAGATACTTGCAATGTGGGTCAAATACGCACAGAACATCCCCAATCTCTTCTCCCTGAGACACAAAAGACGGAACGTCAGTCAAATGATAAACGGCGTTAAAGCCTACTCCATACTGGCCAGTTTTGTTCGGATCCTCACCCTTACTACCTTCACCGAGAGTCTGAATGCCTTCAAGATCGTCGTTAGTGAAAGGCTTGTTGTTATACACACACAAGGCGGGCCCCTGCAGAGGTTTCCAACAATCTTCGAACACTTTCACATCTGGATGGTGCCTTGGGTCCTTTATGAAACAAATCTCGGTTGCTTGTGCGTCGTCTGCATTTTGAAGAAGTTCTTTTAAAATTTCCTTTTCGCAGGGGTAACACTGAAGAATGCGTTTCAGGCGAGTTGTAAGTTTCTCTTTCTGTCCGAAGGAAATTCTGACCATGTGTTTTTGCAGGGCTTCTTCTCGACGAGTTTTAACACCAAGTAAGTCACAACTTGACCAGGGAATTTTGGCATGAACAAAGTGCACTCCTTCTTCGTCAGGCATCCAGGGGCAGTCCTTGAAACAAAGCTCGGATACTGCTTTCATCACTGCCCTTGAGTCAGGAAGGTAGATGGTTCCCCATTTTTCTTCCAGCAGAGCAGGATTACCATCATTTGATCTTAATGTTTCTCCCAGTTGATCTGCTAGACGCACCGCAACTCTAAGGTTTTCTTCGTCTAACTCGTTCTCAGAAAATTGCCCTCTCATCTGATGTAGACTTGAAATAAAATCTTTCTCTTCAAAACGTTCCCTTACACCGGCAAATCTCATTAGCTTAGGGAAGTCTTCTGCTAATTGTTTCGGAAGCTGGTAAAGATAGGGTGAACAGTCATCGCTGACTTGAAAAGCCAACTGGTCAGGATAGAGGAACTTTCTTCCGCAAAGGATAAACTTCTTGTCTTTCAACAATTCCTTAACGGCTGCACCATTCCTTGAAATGGCGTTCTGTAGGTGTAAGTACAGTGCTTTGCATACTGTATTTATCTCTTCCATGGCACTCAAATCTAAGGACGCAACGTTGGACGACAATGCCTGTTTCAATTGCCATGCTATATGGTCTAAATTCGCGTGCTTTTTGTTAAGATTCAGCAACGCTTTGACATCTCGAGAGACAAACACCCCGATAAGGGGTTCCGCGCAGCACAAAAGATATTTTTCGTCTTCTGCGAAGACATCTTTTGGGGCGAGTAACGCATCATTTTTGTACTCCTCGCTTTTCCATTTGAGAGGAAAGTTCTTTGGTTTCCTTTGAACGGGAATAAATCGAGCTTCCAACATTCGCTTTCTTACAGAGTCTGGTAGTGGTTCATCGAAGTACTTTATCTTCCTCTCTAGAAATCTTAAGAATTCCTTCACTCTTTTAAATGCTATTTCACTGTTTACTGCATTTAGTCTATGGATACTTTCCGCTCTTTCTGCCATTTCCTGCCAAGGAAGGTAATCTGATGCCATTCCCAAAAGCTCAAGCTTTGCAAGTCGTCTAGGATTCAGAAAGGTTTCTGCATTTCCACATGGAAATCTGCCATCTTCAGGTAGGAAGAGGCGAGCAGCATCTTTGCCTGGGTGAATGAGCTCAGAGGGACGTGCAAGAGAGTTTCCAAGTGGAGATGCCGGAATACAGGAGTGAGCTTTGACCAAATCATCACAGTTGTTATCCATTGCATGCAACACAAGCATATCTCTCATTTCTGAAGGAACTGCGGAAATACTCGGGAAAAAGACTTGACGGAAAAATCTATTTTTGTCGTAGATTTTTGAGTTAATCACTTCCCCACTTCCACACCTTTGGAAAGAATTCACGATAGACGAAGGGAGATCAATAACCACGGCGCGCTCGCTCATTAAAAGCTGGAAAACTTTGAATGAAGTATCGCCAATCGAAGGATCGTGTCGAAGAACTGGATGAAGAAGTACCACCTCATTTATAGTAAACCAGTTCTCTCCATCAGAAAACAAAGCGTGATCTCCAGTGGATATCTGCGTGTAAAATGACTGCGTGAGGTTTCGGAGGTTTGGGAATACTTCATCGGCTTTTGGCCACAAAGAATGGAACCTATAAGATCCGTCAGTTGGAGTAATTGACCTTAGATCTTCAAGGAGGCACACATAAGCTGAGCAAATGGAATCTACTATCAGCGCTTTGTTCCAGTAGACCCCATAACAATCTTTGTCGCCTTCGAGTTTTTCTTGTAAATGGCGTCTGTTCGCAGCTAATGCAAACGCTCCATTTATGTGTACTGGAAGGCCACTATGAATAGGAAGAGGAAGGTAGCAGAAAAGAGTCCCATTGACATCAATTCCATCATCGTTCTTAAAAACAGGTACAGGCAAAAATTTGTCGGCACCGCTCACAGCCAGTTGAACAGCCACCCCTCCTGATGGAAGAAGGCTAAAATCATTCTCAGCAAACTTCAGTGCAAGTCCATCTCCCATGGAGGAGACTATGAGCCAGGTTGTACATTCGGGATGAATGGTTGCTGCATCAGGTTTAAAGAAACGTAGACCGCATTCCGTGAAGACGCAGTGGACGTTCACCTTCAAAGAGGACTTTGTCAGTTCGATTACCTGTCCCTTCCTAAATGCTCGAATAACTCGCGATGACGCTTGGAGGAAACTGCATTGCTTCAAAAAATTCTGGTCGTCGTAACTCAAAATGTTTGCAGTGGGAGGAAGGGAAACAGGGACGGACAAGGCTCTTACTATTCCCTCCTGAGACAATGATTTGGTGACCTTGAACATCAATTTGACTGTTTCGTCTTGAACTTCGGGTGTGGTCAAGGAAAAAATGCTCACACGGAGGACGTTCTGTGTAAAGAGAAGTAAGGTTTCGGCTCCTTTAATTAGCATAAGCAGTAATTCTCGCATTTGTGTGTCGTCATACACCAGCTTCTTTATCTCACTTTTCAAAGCCTGCTCACTTGTTCTCAACGGAAATCGAAACAGAGTTCCATTGAACGAGTTGTCCTCTTTTTGAAGATTTAAATCACAGCCAAATATACCATTGAATGGTTTGAACTGGTTTTTAAATTTTCGAAGCTTCGTCACATCCTTGTTGACATTGATCTTCATTCCAGGCTTCGTTTTTTTCTTTAGAGCCTTCCCGAGATACGACGTATGTGGATCAAAAATCACAAAGTTATTTCTGCTTATGAACATAGGAACATCTGTTAAATTGTATACCGCATTGAAGCCCAATCCAAACCTGCCAATCTTTTCTGTGTCATGCTGTTTCGTTGCTTCGTTCAATTTTGTAATGTTCTCAAAGTCTTCCTCCTTAAATGTTGCATCATTGTAAACCCACAACGAGGGGCCTTGGCAACCCCTCATTCCCTCGTCAATCAGACAAGTCATTGCTTCCTTATTCTTTCTCTCGTCATACAGAAATTTGACTTCTGTGGCGCCAGCATCGTCGGCGTTTTGAATTAGCTCTTTCAGAACTGAAAAGCCATCCGTGTACTCTTCGAGAAGGCGATTAAGTCGGGTGGTAAGTTTTTCTCCTTGTCCAAACTCTTCTCCAATTGCCAGCTCATCAGCATCAAGCAGTCGGTTTGTTATACTTGGCACGCCAAGACGCTCAGCGGTTACATTTGGGACATTTGGGTGTACGTAAAAGTAGTCGATTTCTTCGTCGTCATTTTGTTCTCCATACATGCAACTGTCTACGGGCTGAAGTCTGACATAGGAGTTGTCTTCTTGATAAGTTGGGATCAGGATGTCTCCTTGAAGCGCCTCCGATAACTCTCCACTCGCCAACTCGTTCAGGATATTGACAGATAACTGAAGATCGTGTTTCACTTCTGAAGGGCTCATGACACTTCCGCTGTCGTGTTTCACTTTGATCATCCTTAGAACCTTTACCAGAACAGATGGATCGCATTCCCTCTGCATACCAAAGTACTCAAAAAGACGACAGTGCTGCCTGAAGTCCACAGGAAGACAACGTATGTAAGGTGCGAGATCAATCGATGGCCTTGTAACGAGTAAGTGACTTGGTAAAGAAAATCCATCTCCATTCCATACCCAAGGAAAGACGTTGATGGCCTCAAATTCCTCGTCCACATCATGGTGGTACTCACCAAGAAACCTGTATATTTCGGCCAGCATAACAATGTAGTACGGTTTCTGCACTTGTGAGTAGCACCTCACCGCAGTTTCTAAATGCTGGACTACTTGGTTTACACGGGGTTCATCTTGCCAGCCGAAAAACTGACTGATTGTTTCGGTTTTATCCACGTCAACAACAGGCATTACAGTTCCAATTAGGTTTGCAAACTGGTGACTCTTTAATTCAACAGGCTTGAAAAATCTTCTATTTTCTTCTTCTTCTGTTTTCCAATATGGAAGGCTGGGAGGGTAACCATAGGGTCGCTGTTCTTGTCTTGAAACCCAAGGAATAGTTCTTAACAAAATCCACAATTGTTGTCCACTAACCAGGTCCAGCATCTTTTGAGGATCCTCGTTGAGAAAGCGCACGATTATTTTAGATTTCTCCTTCAACGACGGAAGGTTGGGAAACTTACTTATCATCTTAGCACTTTGATAGAGGTCGGTCGCGGTGACGTCATCCTCGCCTTTCATTCCCAGCTCTTCAAGAATCACAAGTACTGAAGGGCTACCGTATGTGGAGGAAGGAAAAACATCCTCATGGACGAACAGATTCTTGATAATGACGTTTCTAGGGTCAAATAGCTCACAAGGCCTTGCTCGTCCTTTCTGTCTGGAAACGAAAGCCAATTCCTGCAAATTCCTCTTGAAACAAGCATTCTTGCGAAAAGCACTTGCATAACGATCCAACACATGCTCCATCAGCTTGTCAATTTGCTCTTCCGAGTAGCATCCTCGCTTGATGTCTGGAAATACAACCTGACATAGCAGTTCGACGGGCGTTAGAATCTTAACTCCAAGGAGACGTGCCAACGCCATTGAATCGTCTAGAGAAACATCAACGAGGTCTCCTCTCAGTGTAATTGGAAGAGGCTCAGGGGGTGCAGCACGCAGACCTTCCTTTGCTGACACGAATTTCTTCGCCAAAGTCTCAAAAACTGGTAGAGAGCACAGAACATCATACTCCACTTGATACAACTGCTTGCATTTGATATTGACTAAGAATGATCTCAGGAGTTGTTTTTCCTTAGTAGAAAGTACTATACGTACAATTTCGAAAAGTTTTCCGTTAGTCATCATACTTGAGGAAACCACCATTGCTTTCAAAACACCTTGAACGGATGGTGGATGTACAAACCTTCCTAAAACAGCTGGGTGGTGGCCAATAAACGAGGGATAATCGGTCATGATAAGCACACCAAGCTTGACGAGGATATCTGATACATCATCGTCTAGGTAATGACCATAAAAGTGCTTGACTACTACTCTGGAAGGTTCACAAAGTCGCGCCATGGTGACTGGTGTCTTTGACATGTTTAGCGGAAGCAGCGGTAGTTTACCGAGACTAAGAATATCGCCTGCATCGGCAAAACAGTTTTGCAGATATCTCCACACGACCCTGATCCACCCTTTGGGTGGATGACTATGGTTTCGATCTTCAGGGTACCACAGGACGGTGTTCCCCTCGCTCCACTCGAACGGCAGTGCTCGTGGAAGTAGTGATTTCACATCGTCTTTACGGAGTATCCTCAGCTGTGTGGATCCTGAAAGAAAGTTAGATGTCTAAAATTGATTACTTCCTTTGTGAAAACCAACAAAAAGGAATTGGGCACACGACAAAAAAAAATCAAGGAGGGCAATAAAACAGGCTAAACATCAGACGCGCAACACTCAAATGTTTAATAGCTGAATTTTGTGTGACAAGGGTGGTTAGTAGAGATTTTTAGTTCGGAAATCCTGCCAAAGGAATCGATAGTCTTACATCAAGAACTATCAAATGAGAAAGTAATGTTACCTTGCTTTCCTGCGGATTCAAGCCTCTGAGTGATTGCCTCGCCGATCGTTTCATCCAAAAAACGATGTTCTAGCCCTGGGAAAAGTTCTCGGGGATGTTCCCTAGAGCAGATATACACGGGTTCCGATTGGTTGTTGAATTTGATGAAGTTCCCATCGGAAATTGGCAAAAGCTCCAAATCACAGAGCGAGTCAAATTTGCCATCTTTAAGACAAAAATTAAGGAGCAAAAGTTTTTCGTGCCTATTAAGTTTCTTGTAAAATGACGGAATTTTCTTCATGGTCGATCTCACGAGGCTGGGTTTGATTTCCTTGACAGAGGTATAGTTAGTAATAGCCTTGATGACGTGTTTTGGTACAGTGACAACGGGCACGTTAGCTGACAGCAACACTCGAAGAACTACTTCCCTGGTTTCATTTTGATCAAGTAGATCAAAAATTGCTTCTTCCACTGTAATCCAGCGTCGAGAATCTGCATCGGTGGAAACAACATTGTGCTGTAAAAGTATACTAAAAAGAGGATTGATGAGCTTCGTCCACTTCTGGTCAATGCAGGTAATATTTGGCCACGCCCTGCAAGACAACAACCAAGATATCTTGATCACATTGAATTTCAAAACAGCAAGATTGTTGCTGTAAAACATATGAAACTTGAATTTCTTCGTAATTAACTTTAACGACATGGGTTTTTCATAATGAAGGTAACCCGTGACTGTTGATTTCAAATCTGAGATCAGAAAAAAGCTATTTAGATTACCGAGTGTTTGTAATAAAAAAGATAATGAAGTACTAATAAGCTCTGAGAATCTTTCATAGACAAGAATTCATTATGCACGCATGTATGTGTGCCTTGTTATTGGTTATGACTTTCTGGTTACACTTAGCTAAAGAAAGCTCAGTGGTGAGTGAATTGATAGATATTACCACTTACTTGTAAATTGATGTTCTTGGTAGAAAACACGAGACCCATTTTGTAGCTTGCAAAATTAGGGTCGCATATGCCCTTGGTGTGGCTTCCTCCAGGAGACACTTATTCCACAACAGTGACTTGTCAGTCAGTTGCCGCCAACCCATACTTTCTCGCTCTTCTTGATCTGCATTTGGAGACTTGATATATCGCCTATTTTGGCTTAAAGCGAAGAACCCATTTATGTGCACTGGCAGACCTGTCAGGCTCCTCATCGGAACTGGTAATGGCAGGAAACAGAACACGTGGCCTTTGATATTTGGCGTCTGCATTTCAGGACCATTAGGCAATGGCATGGCAACACCCACTATGGGTAGATAGTTTAGCGCTTTATCTGTCATCAACTGTTTGAAGTTCAATGAAACTTCTCCCCCACAAAAGTAGTTGGTGACAAGAAAGGAGTACTGCTGCAGAAGGTCTGTTTCATGAGATGTACCGGACTTGATTGTCTCTATGGTAATTGGATACGTCACTGCAACAGAGTGAGGCATCAATTTCCCGGGCCTGATCTTCCCAAGGAACTCCTTCCTCCTAGAGCGAACTAATTCCAAGTCTTTGTCGGCTACTCTAACCTGAAATGTTCTTCTGGGACTAGCCTGTGACTCTTCTCGAACATAGAGTTCAATTGATTCTAAGTGTTGAAGAAAGAGAAGAACCAAGTGAGCATCGGCTTCAAAACTTTCAAACAAAGTGTCCATTTTCTCCTCGGTGTACAGTGTATTCGATAGATCGGAAGGTGTGGTCCTTAGAGGGAAACGGAACAGGGTGCCATCATAATAACCGTTGGCAAACACTTCTTCGTTACAGTCCAAGATTCCTTTGAAAGGAAGGAACTGATCGGGTATTTTTTCCAACTCCGCACAGTCTTCATCAAGTCTCCAACATTTACCGGTTCTTCTGTTCCGTTTATCAGAAAAGTAAATTCCATGAGGGTCAATAAATCCAATTTTTTCAGCGCTAAGCACACTTGGTAGATCTTAAAGAAAAGAGAAACTAGATATCAGCTGTAAATTTTTACTACCGAGTATATTGCTATTTATTTGATTTCAATATATTAGAGATGTCAAAAATGTGCAAAGTAGATCTTAAGAAAATGAAATAATAATTTGAATGTAAAATTAGTATCAATTATACATGGCGCATGATGGGAAACCTTATCAATAACATAGTTATAGCTAGTAACTGTTCAATATAGCGTGGAAAGATTCCATTACAGGATACAATAACTTTATATATTTGACATTTAAGGAAGCTAGCAGCAAACCGAATCAGGTGAAATACCATTGCAGAGATGTCCTGACTACTTTACATGCCCGTAAGAACCCACTTTGACTTACCTGTCATATGCAGTACAGACTTAAAACCCAAGCCGAATCGACCAACTTTCATGGGGTCTTCCACTTTAATGCTATCGCTGACAAGTCGTATTCCTGTCCAGTCTTCTTTCCTAAATTTTGCGTCGTTGTAGGAGAAGAGTGCTGGACCCTACGACGAAAACCATGAAGAGAGATAAAGACTCAAACTTGGTAGCGATTTAGATACAAAAAATCGGGGGCCTCTTGGTTGGTACAGAGGGTTCCTGGTCGAACGGTTTTGGTTTCTAGACCCGAGAAAGTATATATGTTGACTTCTCTGACAAAACGCTTATGGTAACTTTCTCCACTTCGGAATCTAAATGGGGGCAGGCAATATTCCTGGTTGCTACCGCAGGATCCAAAATTGCAACTCCAATAATCTCCTCCGTCAGACAGATCGTTAACGTCTATCCAGGATGGTTTTACAGGTTAATCCCTTTGACATAAGTAGTAGCTACTCGATTTTGTTTTAATTTCTCAAACAAGTTTATGTCAACTGTTGTAAAAAATGAAATCTGCTTTAAATAGTTTTAAGGTCCATGACATTGTTTCACCTGAAATTGTGCGAGCTCCTCATCAAATAGATGTTCAGTTCCATAACTGTTTTTGTCATGCAAAAACTTTACGCGTCTGGCATTTGCATCTTCCGCATTTTGAATGAGTTCCTGGAGGAAAGAACAATTTAAAATTGTATCATGCGGGACCAACACAGACGGAAAGTGTTTAATCTTCAGATTAAAAAGAAAATAAAAGAATGAAAGTGGAAATGGAGGATAAATATTCATCACACTCATTGACACCGAGGTGTAATGTTGTGTAAGTATATACCAATATCATACGAAAGCCAAAAATTAGTTTTAGTTCTGTCGATATAACAAAAAATGGTCACTCGTCTTCAAAAACGTTGCAATGTAAAAAAAGATATGAAATATAGACACTTTTTGTTTTCTAATCAGAAAGTGTCCCTTTTAGATGAGAAAACCAAAGATATATCTATTTACAAATTTGTACATATATATATATATATATTTAGATTGCTTTAATATACAACAAACGGCGGGAATTTCGATCAAAACACCGCATTAATTACTACAATTGAGTAGTTGTAATTTGCCATTTTCCAACATGACGTATTTTATTTTAATTTTACTCCATTATCATTTTTGATATTTGTTTATTCCTGAGTTCAAGAGCTCTTTTCAGGGATTGTTTTTTGTTTGTCATCGGTTTTTTAAAAAAGGGAGCCTTGGAGGGGAAATTGTAACTGCAGTTTAATGGCCCTTTCCTGGGATCCTGTTATGATTTTTACCTGATTACATTCATTCAGAGACCTTCAATGGGGAGCTTGTTACTCCGGAGTAAACACTACTAATTAAGTTAGATTCTTTTTTCTCTCTAATTTTTGTCACTTATTTGTATTGACCTTATTTGTATTCACATACCACCCATAGTTCTTTCTTTGCCTTTCATTGTTTAACCCTTCTCAATCTTAAAATTTCTGTTTTTTATACGAGTCGCAACCATTGTAAATAGCTTTTTAGTTTTTAATTTGTAACCTGAAGAAGGCCAGAACAGTCAAGAGTTGGCCTCTTCGTTACTTCGTTATAGTACACTTAACTATATACACACATATATATATAATTCATGTATTTTGTGTGCGCTTTCTTCACCTTCAATATCTGTCCATCATCTGGATACTGATCTAGAATGGTTCTCAACTGTTGGATCAGCGATGGTTGAATCAAATTGAAGTCATCATCTACCGAGCAACCAAAAACGATAATACATAAATGGAACACCTTCAGCCTCCTGATCCTCCCAATCTTATCAAATGGATGTCGCCGGGAGATACGGTCCGCGTCTGGGTGGTGTTGAAACTTTTCGCTTTTAACGGGATTCTTTAAATGAACCCAAAAGGTTTTCCTCACCTAGGAGCTTCTTTCAGTTGATATTTAATATAAATATATACCTACCCATATTTGTGACTTCACTCTCCTACACTTTTAGTCCATCTATCTGAGGATAAAGTAGAGGTAATAACTAAGTATACACCAAGACGTATGTCTAACAAACAATGTTCAAAAATTGATCATGTGCAGGCACTTTCGTTTCAATGTCCTACGATACGTTCTTGATCATTTACTTTGGTAGGAACCCGAGAACAACCCAAATTTAAAATGCACCACTTCTATCTCTAACCCAGGTCGATGAGCTTGATCTTTAATAGAATAAGAGAGAGGGTAAGTTTTGAGCTCGGTAAAGAAATAGAGAAAGATGGTTTTCGTCTTGTCACGAGCGTGGGACAAAAAAAAATTTTTTGAGGTGGTACATGAGGAATCGAACCTCAGACCTTCGGATTCCGCGCTCCGCTGCTCTACCATGTTTTTTTCGTTTTTTTCCTCTGTACTTTTTTTCGTTCTTATTCCATTAACAAACATGATGCTATCGACACTGCTAATCCTAGCAGTATGCAGGACGCGTGTCATATGAACGTCGTAATAGACCTCGCTCACCGTAGAGTCTTTGTGGCTCAGTGGTAGAGCATCGGAGTGCGGAATCCGAAGGTCCGAGGTTCGATTCCTCATGGGAACTCAGAAATTTTCCTTTGTCTCACGCTCGTGACAAGACGAAAAACATCTACCTCTTGTAGAATATCGCTTCAGGCCATCCCCTTTAACAATTAGAGCAGATTGCTATTGTAGCTGAGAGTAGGCAAGATGATAACAAACCAAGAGTACTTACTCCAATCGTTCTGAAGAGAAAGAACATCGATAATAATATAAACTGTTACAGCTTCATCCAACCTTTGAAAGATCTGAGAAAAAAAAAAAATCAAACAAACCAACTCAGTTCAGAATTTATGAGTTCATATTGAAATATCTTGTGCAACACTTTAGAGCTCAGTAAAATAAACAAGTGAGAATTTTCACAAGTGAAAGTGAAGTACACACAATATGCTTTGACGACAGTCATTTAAACAAATTATTTGCAGACGTTCAGATTTTTTCAGCGAACGGTACGTGCTTCCAAAGACCTTTACACCAGTTGATAGAAATTTCTAACACATGCTATGTAGCAGATCGTCACCATAGCATTCTATAGCTACCTCAAGAAGACCTTGAAAAGCAATAACAACCTGCTGGCTAAAAGGATACTGAAGGAACCATAAACATATGCAGCTTCTGTTAAAAAGAAAACTCTGTGAATTCTACGTTATTTACGATGCTGAATTTTATCAATTAATTGGTCAATATTGTGATAAATTTTTCGCCAATCTAAAAAATCTTTCGGTTTTGAAATATTTCGTACTTAACCAACAAGTAAATAAATTTACAACAACTCGAAGCATTCAGGGATTGATTTTCAATTTTCAAAGGGTAAATTATTGAAAGAGGGGCTGTGGAATCTACCAAAATAATTAGTTCTTCGATCATAAAGCAAACATGAGGCAATGACGAAAGCAAGACTATTCATTCAATCTTATTTATACAATTACTTTTTTGGAATCGTTTAAACCTATCTGATGACACGAAAATTCCTTCAACCCAGCTTATCAACCTCGATTATCCGGATTTCTCGATTATCCGAACTTTTTCTCTGGTTCTAATTTTCTCATGAATATTTATTATTTATGATCAAGATCCGTAGCCATATTCTTTCTAAAACTACAGCATTGAAAAGTGAAGGAAGGCGAGTTTGTTTCGCTTTCAAAAAGCAAAAGCAGCGCTCGCACGCGTTGTAACTAATGAAGAATATTCAAACGAGGTCTGATTGGCTCGGAGTTGCTTTGTTGCTGGTGAGATTTCACGCTCTATTGCCTCGTGCGGCATGGTATGCAAGACAAACAAGCTACACAGCGTCACGAATGTTTATTCGCGATCATCATTTCCTTGAAGCGTAAGCGATCCATTATATCGATAAAAGAAAAACAGTCTATAACTTTTGGCTTTCCAAGAATTATCAAAAATTCTTGCCTTTCTTTATAGTCCATGTTTCCCTCGGTTAAATCTTTCCAATAAAACTAAACATATTGGCAAACTAAAACTTAATACAATGACACAATGACATGAAAACTGAAAAAGCTGCATTCGCAATGTTTTACTCATCACCAACAGGAAAATCAGCAGACAATCCAGAATGTTTTGATGCATCATCCAGTGCGATATTTCTGATATCGTACTTTTTTCTCCATACTGCCATATAAGTTAGAGCATTTTTTATCTCTCCGTGATTATATGGACGTTAATTAACCCGGTTATCTAAAGAGACTTTCATATTTGCATGCGGTGAGCATTTAAAATTCAGAATCATTCCATTCTGAACGAGGTGATCACACGCTGAAGAAAAGCACTGCATCAGTGTGTTTATTGTAACCGTCTTCTCTTTCAAACGTTGCTGTTTCAGCTTTCAAGCCGTTCAGTTGCAGCTGATACATCTTCTCAGAACGTAACCCAAATTCCGAGAAAATCGTCGAATGGCATTTAGTTGCGTCATAGCATTTCGTTACTAATAATTTTTTATCACAAAAGTTCAACATCAGTACCTTAACGTGGTTATTCTCTAATCACTGCAGTCGCAAGGCTCGCTGGAAAGAGGTTACGAAATGGCGGCGTTCCGCAACTCGCCCCAAGAAATTGTTGTCTGTCTCAGCGAGCGGTGACGATGGTCGGCGAATTGCAACGAAAACTGATCGCATGAAGGAGGTTTTAACAAATAACCTGGCTATGATTGATGAACTTTTCTAAGTGACCGTGATGATCACGTGAAAATTTGGATACAGTTGTCATCTCTCAGATATTGCATCTTTCATTAGTTGCTGAGCAGTATTACCTCAACAGTTAGCGGTAGGGTTTCGCGTGACTGAGAATTTTAACTTCCTTGTTGACTTGAGGTTACCGAAACCACCAAGTTTCTGATCATTCAGAAATTAATTCCTAAACTGTAGATTGATGCAACAATTTATATCGTGATTCACTTAAAACAGGAAAGATCGCAGCAAATTTGCGTTATTTTATCAGGCAACAGCCGACCTTTCGCGACTTGAGGGATACTTCTCGAATTCCGCTATGGTGGTGCCAAATTTTATCGAAAGCAAAACATGTTTCAAACTCTGCTTACTTTGCTTTTCATTTAAACGCTACCAAAAGTGCTTTTCATCCATTAGATAGTGGCTAATGAATCAACATTTGCAGCTCACGAAGGGAATTTGAATAAACATGACCCTTTCTAAGAATTTAGGATTCTAGGAAATGAGCTGCAACTTCCGGTCATGTCTTTCCCCGAGGAAAAGGAAAAGGTACAATTCGGATTTATATAAATCAGAGTTGTCCATCCCTATAAATCCAGACCTATATCAGAGCAAAGATTGCCATTTCCGCTTTATGTTCTAGGGCCTGGCCTGTGATTTCATGCTCGTTTTCAAACCTTATCTAATTAAGATTTGCGCAAGTCAAGCGTTCATAAGATTTGCATCAATGCTGAAGCCAAGAATGAAACTTCCTCACACGGTTCATCGGGTGTAGACGAGACAAATACGTTAATGTGTTATCGGGGTAAAAGTAGAATTACGAGTGTTGTATGGTAAATATACTATCTTGATCATCGAATTAAGGGCAGTTAAAGTAGAGCAACGACAGGAGTCACTCGACCTATGAATACTCTACTAACAGCAACAATGTGAAAACTCCAACACGCCATGGCATGCTCCTTATTAATGAATGCGATATTTTCTGTAAAAATGATTATCCATTCACATAAAAAGTTTCAAGCAGTGGTCATGGAAGGTGTCGGACAACTTCCATCAACAGAATCAAGCCTATCACAAATAAATGAAACAGAAAGGGGAACAAAGAATCGATCTCGCTAAAAATTTGCATTGCACCGATCCCAACATGTGGTTTCATAACTTATTTGCTCTTGGCCCCGAACTTCTATTTGGGAGAAACGAGTCTAAGCTTGATTAAGCTTCACTGAAAAATTAAATGAAAGAAGTCGGTTTCTTTAAATTCTGTTAAAGTAATGCTAGAAAGATCTACTTTAGTAAGAACTAGTACTCATGCGAGTGGGCAACTGACTGGAAATGTTTGAGACAACCGGCCCATGAAGAGCTTTAAAACAGCTTTGCTTTGCATTAGGGATTATCATCTTGATTAGGCATTTTTGGGAACTAGTTATGATAAGTAAATTGTCTTTGAAACAATTTATCAGTGAAGTTAAACACATCGTTTGCGACAAAGATTTCTATCACTTGCAGAGGAACTACCTATAAAGAAAAATGCATATAAATCGAATTGCGACACTGAAATTTCGGTAAAAGTTTACTCAATCCTATTCTGCTGGAAATCGCTGTGGTATTATAGGTGACTATTGTGAAATGCTAGCCTTAATATAGAATGTTTTCTTTTAGTTGGTTATATGATAAAATGCACGTTGATTTCCAAAGATTTACTTGAAAATTAAGATGCTTCAAGTCGCTTACTGATGTTGTTTGCGACTGACATACCGCGATGGAAGTATATATTTCATTATATCTGCTAAATAATCAATATTCTTCAGTAAATCTAGCTATTTGTCGTGCGCATTTTGATTTCATAAAAAGACTTGAGATACAAGGAGGTGGCAAAACACAGCGAGACGCAGTAAATAGCGAGGAGAACATCACAAATGATGGAACCAACCTGCTTGCAATGCCTTGCATCTATTGCGAAACATTGATCTGAACTGCATATAACTATCATAATGTAAAATGATGCTATAGGTTATTCGTGGCCTTTGCTCTGCCGTAGCTGAATCCCTTCCAGCCCACAGACAGGCCAGATGAATCTAGTCGAACTTTTCTTTGCGACATTTTGCTACACACAAGTATTGAACTCATCTTCTGTTGATTTTCTGACCGAAATCAAATAAGATTAATTTTGCAACGGCTCGTCTTCATCACGTTACATTTTAGCTTCAAAACATGCTGGCGTCTAAAGGTGATTAGTAAGAGGAACAGAATGGTAATTTAACTATTTGAATCTCCAAATCAATTTCGTCGAGCTCAAATTTAGGAATGTGTACGATGCTGATCTGATTTGACATGGCATCGCTTTGCTTCACTACCATATTCTAGTACACCGACAAACAACCAGATTTCGCCGCATAGAAATCTTTCCTTATCAGGATGCTTAAGCATTTTCACATATCACTCACCTTTGTATAAAACAGGCCAAGTAGTCCCAACCGACTTTTTCACGATTTACGAAAATGTTTCGTCCTAATAAAGAATGAAGACCTTCTTCGAGTAAAGTGAATTCTCGGAAACTGTTGGGTGGTTTCCGACAGTACGTTTCTAGGAAAACACATCATTTACATTTCACGTGACCACCATCGATCCAAGATGGCGGATACCCGGAAGTGACACTGTCACTTCCGGTTATCCGCCATCTTGTCTTCTTACGGACCTCTAGAAAACCGCGGCCTCACAGAATCATTTCGTTCTATACAATAATGATTTTTTCCCCATAAAATGTGGTTGAAATAGGATAGAAGCATCATTCCTGGATAAAGATGTTGTGTACTAAAAAGGAAAATTTGAATTGTACGGCGTTCAATTGGCGCGTTTAAATAGAAAAATACGTAAAAGGCGATAGCAAATCATTTACAAACTCTTCAAATTTGCTGATTCTTCACAAGGATACCTTTAACGATTATCGCTTAAGCCGCTCGGGTAAGAACCGAAACCTTAAACATTTAAATTAACTATGAACAAGCAAGAAAGGTTAGGAGGTATCCAAGTGTCTCTCGCAAATATTTTCTTTCCTCTATTTTTGCCGCAAAATAGAGAACGTAACAAAACAGACATGATCGATTGAAGGCTTAATCATGTACATAATGATATCATTTGGGTTGTAGTATCAAGCCCAAATTCCAAACGGCATGCATTAGCTGGGGACAGAGTTCTGTCTAAATTATCTCCGCAGCTTCTGCAAGAAAATCTTTTTTGTTTGATCATCATCTCTTAATAAAATTTCAAGTCCTCTTCTTCGGGCCTTCAGTGTGGAACTGAGTGCTTCTTTCAACGCGTCGTTTTCGTCTGTCTGGATGGCCAGCCTACATCAGAAAACGAAAAGATTCTATCAGTCAAACCTGAGAATTTTCCAGTAGGGTTATGGCGTACTATGATCCTTACTGCAAATAATTCAGAGTAGTATAAACTAGAGAAGCGTTCCCATCATTTTAGGAAACAAAATACACATGTCAACTACCTTATAGCATCTAGGTTAGCTACAAAAACACAGTCATTCAAATGAGAGCTAATGGCTAAATTACGATACGCTCCCTAGTACAGCACTTATTCCAACACTTCGTCGACCATCACCTCCAAGCTCATAAAGTGCGTCAACAGCGCTATCAAATTTTGAAAAGCTTTTGATGTTTGCTCCTAATTCGAGCAAATTGTGACACAAGATAGCAACCCCATTAGAAACTGACTACTTTGTTCATTTGACAATGCCGTTGGCTCACCATGGATTTACAAAACTAGACCGAGTGGGGTATTCACGTTGGTTACATGTCTTTCCCTATCTAGTTGCAAGCTCGTCCAAGTCCTCTGGCCTTCCTTGTCGTTCCTGTCCTGGATTTACAAAACTAGACCTAGTGGGGTACTCACGTTGGTTAAATGTCGTTCCCTATCTAGTTGCAAGCTCGTCCAAGTCCTCTGGCCTTCCTTATCGTTCCTGTCCTATGCTCCCGGACCCATACCCTGTGCCCCACCCTTTAGCCACGCCCTGTCCCGACTTCACTCTTCTCAGCTGCTTCTCCACGTGAACGACTTGACGTCGTTCCTGTTGCCATTTGTTGATTGCCTCTAACTCACTGTTTATAGCTTCGTCGACCCTGAAAATATAGCACACATCTTTATGATAAATCCGAAAAAAGTTAGCTAACGTAATTTTCAATCACATATGACCTTTCCTTTTTTTACGAACAACGAACGAACGGAATGAAAAGCTCAAAGAGAAAAGTGTTCTAGTTCCGGTTGCAAGAAGGCCATGTGGCACTATTTGCGAGTTAAATTGCTGAACTCCTGGTTAAGAATCACAGCAACTCCTACTTGCGAACCGATTTGTCACCTTTACACCTCAGCAATCACTTCCTTATTCACTGAATCATCCGTTAGTTTCCCAAACTACCACAAATCCCTTCGCGTTCCTATAGTCAATTTGTTCCTGAAGCAAAACGAATGATTCATTAATGTAAAGTCAGGGAATAACTAAATCAAACGCAGGCGAGTACACACAGGCTGTAATATGATTCCGTGATCTCTGTCGTGTGATAAGATCAATGGCAAAAAGAAGGTAGACAAATTTAGTAATGATACACTGTATTCACTCAGGGAAACGTAAAGCAACTGGTAGATGATTCATGCTAACCATGCCAGTGAGTATCATTAAGCACTGGCACAAGTCAATTAAAAGGCACAAGGTTGACTCGACAGTGGAGGATCGAAAACGGGAATTGGCGATATTCTCGATAACAATTTTAGTCCAGTGTTAAGGTACCAGTTTCGCATTCGCGTGACAGAAAATAAAGAAACGCCACGACCCTGCGCAAAATTTTTGACATAAAAATAGTCAGTGGAAAAACCACTCAAAACAATTTTTATGATCCATTAAAAACTCCATTAATCAGTAGCATTTACTAATACACTCCCTCCCACCCCTTCCTGCGTACTAATAGTTCGTCCTCTACTCCTCCCTCAGTAACAAAAGTCTGCCTCTCACCCTTTCCTTCCTTATCCTTCCTTATATATTTAAACACGTGACACCTAGGAGTACCGAAGTTCTCGTTTAAACGTGTACGTGTAAAAAAAACCCAAGGACATCCATCACACAGTAATCTCGTGCGTGGGAAATTAACGTCTCCTACCCCAAATCCTGCAGGAGACGGGACCTCCGGCTTCACGTCTTATCCGAGAAGACGAAGCAAGGTGAGTGAAGCGACTTGCTTAAGGCCACAACGTAGTGCCCCATCCAGGACCTGAACCCGGGCCGTCCAACCCAGAGTCCAGCGCTCTGACCACTGGGCCACTCACGCCTCACCGAGTACTGACTGCAAAAAAAAAATTGTCCAAAAAAACGGTCCAAAAAATGATCCAATAGCCCAGTCAATATTTTACCATATGCCATGCCCACCTGACCGATCGTGAAAATTGATAACCAATGAATTTTTATATCAACTGATATTGACAGAAATCGATGTACAGAGGTGAACTAGTATGATCGATATTCATTGACTGACTCCTATTGTCATTGACTTCTATCCGTTGTTTTCCAATTTGCATCGCTAGTATTAATTACAGCTGTCCTTGGTCAATTCACACCGATATTAACAGATTAATCGGTGAGGTCAGTTAATGGATATCGAGTGTTATTGGCAAATGAGTATAACAACAACGTGCACAATTTCCGTAATCTACTCCTATCGTTGCCAAGTAAGACTCAACAATGACTCAACTAGAGGTCACAGTCGCAACATCGCCTAGCAGCTCAAGCTATCAGCAAACAGTTGTATCTAGATCTAGACTGCCGCAGGCATGGATTAAAAAAGAAGGAAAGAAAGAAAAAAGAAAGAAAGAAGGTCAATCATCAAATACGCAGTGAGGACATTAACTCTTAACAAAAAAAGCTTTTGCGGTTGCCTGACAGAGATTCCCCGTTGATGATGACACCATTACCCTGCTATGGATAAACAGAATGAAGCATTTACCGACTGATTTACGAGTTTTCATCATCAAATACCAATTGGTTGTCAGCGCAGACAGAGAATTTGCGTTTACGCTTTCGTCATATTATCTACGAAGTCCTTAATTCCCTTGCAGCTTTTGAAGTACTTTAATTCTATTTCATGGCTAATTGTTTAAAAATAACTAAATTGAACAAAGATTGCGAAACTTATTGAAGCAAGTCTCTGCTCGTGGGCAAAAAAAAATCTCAGTGCGTCAAAGTAAACAAGAAGTCGCACCGGAATTATTTGTCAAACTAATCAAACAGAGTATCTTAGTCTAAGGTAATAAGTTTAAAGCTCATCAAAATGATACTTACCATTACAGGAATCCAGGTCACGTGAAATGCCAGACAATGACTATGCCTTCAACTAAATAAGCAAATAGCGAATTTTCTCCGTGTTTTTGTTCCTGCCTCGAGTAGGCTAAAGATGATGAGATTCTGTCGCCTATACTTCAATAGATTCCTCGCGCGGTCACGGCTAATTAGTCATTTCATCCTGTGTCTGTAGGAGTAAACAGCGATGCCAACTTGAACCACACAAACATCAGGAAATATCTCGCAAATCGCCGGTCTTTCAACGTGGCTTGATCGCTGAGTTCTAAAGCAGTTGCTGTACAGCGAAAGGTATATCGGTGTTGGTATACAAACGGTTAAAAAGTCCACTAAGACCAGTGACATCAATAAAACGTCTATGCTCGTTCGACCAAATCGTGTTCGAAGCTTCACTTAACACACCACACATGGAAAATATTCAGGAAAAAGCCAAAAGCTCCTGTCACTAGCAAGTACAAATTCATTGAGCTTAGGAAGTAGAATTTCATTTCTTTTTGGGGGAGCCGTCGTGGTGATTTTCTATATGAGCCATTCTGATCACGTACAATTGTAGTGGCTATCGATCCTTCTTTATCGTTTGGTCTCCACAGCAGAATATCGACTCGTGCGGTTTTGATGTCGCGCCAGATATGAGTCATTCATCGGGTAAACAAAGGATCAATTAAATCACTTGAGGCCAGAGACACTTAAAATACATCTTTTAAATGCCATTTTGAACAGTGGTTTTAAATGTAAACAAACTTCTCGACAGGGTCCCAAAACTCAAAGTCTCGAGCGGAAATGTTTAAGAGGAGAGGTTAAAAACAATTAATATGAAGAATGCAAAAGGAAAGGTGCATGGGTGGCCCTTATTATACGAAATATTTTCCGCACAATAGTTTTATAATCATAAAAAAAGCCTTCCGCTTCGGACTTCTTTCGTAGCTCATAATTTTGCCATCTTCTCGTTTTAAGGAACTTGTAGGAGCTTGCTAAAATGTTCTGATTAATTTCAACGATTTCTGATCTGCAAGCAGCTCCGGGGACTCCGAAAACTTCAGTTGTGGTATTTGTGGTTTTTTTTTTCTTCTTTGTTTGTTTGTTTGTTTTTTTTTTTACTCTCCTCTAACAGGTCTAAAAAGAGCAAGAATTGAACCGATAAAAGATAAACCAGCAGACGAGGGTTTTTTATGTTAACAAATTAGGCAAATCTTTATCCACAAAGCTTGCATGGAACTCACAGCAACAATGATATTTTGCTTTGGAGACTCCCTTGTCATAAGGTCTTACCATAACATTGAAGATTTGAGTATACTTATGTTCTGCAGTAGACGTTTACCTTAACAACTGATGTCACTTTGACACAGGGTCTTTTAGCTTTCCACAACTACATATTTTACCTTCAAAAAATAAACGTCCCTCTACCTATAGATAAACACCTTAAAAAGTCGCAAAAAATGCTATGTGGGTAGCCATAGAATAGTAATGTGGAATATCTAGGACGAACCTACTTCATCCAAGAAATTGTAATGGACGAAATAGAAACTCGTAATACCAACTGAACAAGGACGGATGGGGTAAGGGGTAGGGGGGTAGGGGCCCTATTTGACCAAGTAGGGAACAGCCGCGAGTGATGCTATGGAGCTCTGTGTTGTTTGTTTGTTTCCTTCTGTTCTTATGCAGCTTTATCTTCCTTCAGTATGTTTGTTTGTTTTTGTAATGTTTTGCATTTTTTTTGTAGGTTTGTTTCTTTTTTAGAAGGCCTTATTTTCTTTCTCAAGGTTTCTTTACTTGCCCTTGTGCCACTTTGTTTAGTATTACGATTCTAGCTTGCTTGTCTGAGTTAAGAGGTTAGACTTTTCCAAAGTCTCTTTCGATAGCCGAGTTCGGCATTAACTTTCCACTCGCTTTTAGGACGAGTAAGTATTGCTTGAATCGGTTTTTGAACTTAGTACTCCAAACACAAGGTTGATATTGCTAACGGAAAGATTCCCTGAAAAGGTAGAAGATGTAAATTCCCTACGCTTTGCTTAAATGCGACCTGATAAGTAGACTAGACGAAACCAGACCCCCTCCCTCCGACTCTTTGGGTCCAAGATGCTTGCTTACCCCTTCCCTCCTCCCTGAAGTAAAAAATAAAGGGCATAAAATTACAAAAGGGTTTTTACCCGAAGAGAAGAACATGACACGCACAGAAGGCGGATTGTAACGTTACGTTTATTCAAAACGCACATTTAGTCATATTTTCATTTTTTTTTAATTTAGAAAAACTAGTTTTAACTATAATACAAGAGGAGCAGACTCCGTTTGGTAACAGAATGTTAATATGAGCTGCTGCAGTTTTCATTCAGTGACGATCAGACACGTAAAGTCTGTAAGACCTAGATAATAGCTGTTTTTACTTATCAGACTAAAATGGTTGATTAATGAAGGTCTTATGAGATGTTCGTTTCAAACTTTACATAATCATGGTTCTCGGTGAGAGGAAATGCATATATCACAAAATAGTTCAAAAAATTGCTGAACTAGACAATCACTGTTATGGCAATCGCCAAAGCCTCCTTCATTAATCGTTGAGAAGTTGGTACAGAAGAAGGACCAGGTGAAGGAACTATCTGCGGTCCTGAATGATGTGCATTGTTCACAATACAGTAAAACCAACCAACTAGCTGATGTAAATATACAAACTGCTAGAATCTGCAACAAAGTTAATCATTAATAAACTGATGAGAAATAAGTACATTTATAACTACTCAAGTCTTCTTTGCTTTCAATTAATAATACGTCAGGCCTGTTGCTATAAGCCATTTCTATTCTACAGAGCCACTTATGTCTACCGCGGTTTACCTAGCGAAACAGCAGAGGGTAAACTTTTCACGAGCCTTCATAAGAATGACTTTTCTCCTAGGTAAACAAGATAGCACCGGAAACTGAATCTTGACTAATACCTGTTTCTATACTTCTGGTTAATGAAAGGGAAAAAATGAACGAAGCCCTATAGCTTAGTACCGAAATAATTAAAAACCCATGCCTTTGCAAATAGGCTGTCTCTAAACTGCTTATTCGTGCTACTTCTCATTTTGAATTAAACTTCCCAATCTCAATTTTCATAGCATTTGGCTACAAGACACCCTACAAAGAAAAAACTCAACACTAGTTCATCCTTTTATCTTTTGAATAATGATTTTACCGATACATAGTACCCTACGGTTATGCCAAATAAAAAGCACTAAGAAAATGATTATTCTGCTTCAGTATAGATTAATGATTGATATAAATTACGCCTATTTCAAAATACACTTTGGATTTAACATCTACGACGAGTTACTGGTTGATAAAACAGGACGCTCTCTCTTGAGTCATTTTCCTTGCACCAGATGTTTCATCTTAAGCCTGTTAAATGAAGTAAATTGGTGAACTGAAGTAAACCAGGTAAACATGACATGTGAAGATATACTACTTATGTTCTTGTTATTTTCCTAACGATTTTGTTTCTGATATTTTTTCACTGACGTTAAACTAACAAATACGTTAGGAACATTTCGAGGATTTAACAAATCAATTTAATCTGGCTCTAGTGATCCTTTTACACGACCGCGTTGTATTCAATTTCGTCATCAGAGCGACTGTACGATGAAATAGTAGACGTTATGCGTAGAATATAATTAACCGTAACCGTGGCCCGAAACCTAAGAATTTACAGTGATTGTATTAAAAACCAATGATCTTGTGATTTCAAGAAATAGAATTAGGCCTCTAAAGTCCTCCTAAATTGATCAACCATATTTTACAAGTGGTCCACCATCTATAATAAAATGCACGTTCTCCCCAGACTCTCAAAGCCGTGTCTACCGAAACCTCCGTATCAAAACCCCACATTTCTCATTCCTATGCCTCGCCTATTTACGAGGAAACAAGAGTCGTAAAATTTAATTGCTTGAAAGGTATATATTTGCTTTACCCATGGTAACTATTCAAACGTAGTAGCCTCTTGAAATTTCATAAAGCTTTTTGAAAGCGCACTTTTATGGTATAAAAATAAGAATAACTCCCAAAACGTGATTTTAGTCATGGCCGTTAAGTTAAAATGATTTAAGGCAGGGCGTGAAATTGCGCCTAATACAGGCGCCAATGCGACTAACTTTTTCACTTTGGCGACCAAGTCCTGAAAGTTAGTTGCCAAATTGGCGACTAGAACGTTTCATCATAACCTTACCAAGAGATATAGTGAATTAAAAAGATTTGCAAAGATAAATCCGCGGCAAACTTCCTCGTTAAGTTTGTTTCCAAAACGTAGCACATGCATCTCGATCGATAACTAGACGCCATCTTGGATTTAGATGAGCCTGAACGTTGTTTATCATCCATCCTAGTGTCCACTTTGTAGCACGTTAAAGATCTTTTCCCTAACTTAATTTTGGAGGGTCTATCTAGAACGTTGACAGCGTAAAGAAAGATTTTGTTTGTCTTTGAAAATGGCGACCAACTTTTTTTGAATTGGCTACCACTTTGAAGAATTTAGGAGCCAAGTGGCTATCAGAAAAAAAAGTTAATTTCACGCCCTGTAAGGATCAAATAAATGAAGACATTTTATCTTTTTATTTCTGTTGGCTTAATTTCACTCCAAATCTCATCGCATGGCAAGCTATATAATTTCTCTGAAGCAAATTTGTAAATAATGGTGCCTATATTTATACACAACATGTCAATTGTGTAGAATGCTCATTTACCTGCAGGAAAGAGGTCACATTGATATCCCCCTTTCTCTAATACCGGCGGTTCTTTAATACCTCGTCAATCTTGGGTTTTACTCGTGTGACAATTTCTGTGGCAAGATGCAACGATTCCCGAGCTTGCTGGGACGAATAAACCTCGTGGGGGATTTGGGGACAAGTAAAACAATCTGGATAACGCATTCGTGCAGAGCCACCAACGAGTCTCTCTAACTGGCTTGCAAAGTTGGCCAGCTCAGCGTCATTTAAGCCGTTACAAATCCTATTTAGGTTGTGATCATCTGTCTTTTCAGCATGTAATGTATACTGAGCCGCCTTCAATGCCTTCTCTGCTGCCTGCGGTAAACAAATGGCATTACAAGCTTCAGCGGAAGAAATAGGCATAATGTATGTCAATAAGTCACCTACGAAACACAAAAGATTTGAAAGCGGAAGGGGAGGGAAGACACAAAGCTTTCAAATGCTCGGGCATCAAACATTAGGCTGTTATAACACCAATGTAAAACTGATTTACCGAATAACTTACTGAAATAAACCCTTTTAGGACCTCACCGGGTGATTCTAATGGCACTTAAATCCACGAAACAAAAACAAATTTGCTGAAGAATGGATACCTCTTATTGATTTTTGCTTCTTGGACGACTGGATTATTTCATTTCGTTTTCCTTAATATCTAAGCATTTTAGGTTCTTACGATTTTACTAAGCGACGATAGTTTTACCTGATGGCATTTAAAGCATACCCACTCATAGGAGGGCTTGCCGGAGTCAATTTCATTTCCCCCAGCCTCCAGGTCAGCTTTGGCTTGTTTGTACCAGCGCTCGGCTTCTCCAGGTTGAGGATTGCTACTTGAAAAACTGGGAGGGACATTTCGCCATGGCTCGTGGTCTTGGGATGTATACCGTTGTAACACTTTTTCTTGGTATTCTTCACGACGTAATCTGTGTTCCTTAGCAATCTCCACACAAGCGTCGTTAAATTCTTCGTGCGATCCACCTAGACGGAAAAGTTCGTCAATTATATGTTTAGAAACTTCAAAGCAGAACTCTTCATCTCCTATATTCTTCTCCGGACGCCACTGAAGAATGACCCGTTTGACAATTTGTCTTCTTTCACCCTCTGATAAATCACATTTCCATGCATTTTCCAAAATGGTCGAGATTTGAAGGAGGACCTCTTCCCGATCTTCCCTATTTCTGCGTTGCGCATTAGATATTTCTTCAAAACGGCAAAATTTGTACAGTTTGGTTGCAGTCACCTCCACCGGCTCGTGTTCATGTCCAATGTTCACTGAGTACACCTTGGTAACGAGACGCAGAACCCAGTCTTCGTTGCAGCCAACATCCTGGGCCATAACCTCTTCGATAATCACGGCGTAGATGAACGTAGCAACGCCTCTGTCTAGCTGAAGACTCGGGTCGTGAAGCTGATAACCGACATATTCCCCAGGTTCAAAATCGCCAAAAGCGTCATTCAGTAGATGATGGTCCTCAACTGGAATGAAACTTCCCGGGTCAGGAAAGATATCCATACCATCTAAACTGCAGGTGTCGTCTTGTCGAATGTCCGATTTATCGAGCAGGGACCAGATTTCATTAGGAGCGCACTGCAACATACTAGGGATTAAGTAAGCGCTCTTTCCAAGAAGGTCACCATACATTTCTATAACAACTCCCGAAAGCAAAGACCTGGCCAAATCGGTATCGTTAGTCGCATTTACCACGTTAACGTACACCATGCATTTCTCCTCACCGTGTATCTCACATTTCTCTTGGAATGACTTGGTATCTCTTTCGCTTCCTGGGATTAGGTTGTCATTTAAGAAAAGGGCCGTTTTAAGACTATCCACGGCGCACAGCTGAATTCTTTTGAGACTCTTTTCGATATCAGCTATAACGTCTTCATCGAAATCCGACTTTTGAGAGTTGTCGTGCTTGATGATCCTTGCGATTCCCTGACCAAAGTGTGGGGTGCAAAGTCGCAGCATCATTAAATCGAAAACTGAGCTTTTAACGAAGACACCATCAATGAGCTTTTCTCTCACAACAAGTGAGAGCATCTTTGGCTGTAATTGTAAAGGCAGTTTCATCATCAGCTCTTTGAAGTTGGTCATGGTTAGTGTTACTCTAACCTTCATAAGCTTAAGATCAAGTAAAAAATGCTGGTGGAGCTCTTTGATTCGATCCTCGTAGGCAGGTACATCATTGAATACCAACTCAGAGGACTTGTGTAACGTGACGGAAATTGTGTTTAAATTTTTTTCCAAGCAGCGGATTCCTGAGGGCGTTGCTGGTAGGTACAACGTGGACAATGTGGACAAGGCGGAAGCTTCTTCGGACTTCTCCTGTAACGTCTCAAAGAATCCCTTTACCGCCTTGAAGCACATTTTCAGCTCATTGGGATGTAATTTTGCGTCACCACAATCCTTTTGCAAGTTCTTCAATACCACAGCATAATGGGCACATGTAACAAACTCGTCACATCCCAAGGTTTGAAACAATTTTCGGAATTTCCCAAGCTCAGGAGGAACCCTATAAAGGAAAGGTTTAATTTCGTCTTTCACCTGAAGTTCGAGAACCGCTTTACCAGGCCTGACGAACCTCGTTCCATTTTCAACCAAAATGCAGGGTGTAACTTCGAGGACGATTGTACCCCTTTCGTCTGCATTATCTTGTAAGAACTTGTAAATTTGTTCCATGACGTTCGTAATCTGGCAACGATGTTCAGATAAGTCAAGCTTGCATTTTCGGAGGTTTTCCAGGTGATGGCATAAGACTTCGCAATGCCGAACAACTATATCTATCGGTGGCTTCTTAATTATTTGAAGTTGCGAAACAAAAGCATCACAGTATTTGTCGACAGAAGCGAGAGGGGGTGGACCAAGTTGATACCGACGGAACTCCGGATTCGCCCAGGTTGGAAGCAAGTGGGCTTGAGTCCAAACGATTTCTTCATAGTCAGCAAAAACTGCTCCTTTGAACGGAATGTAAGGAACTTGATCCCCTTGCTTTTGCTTAAAAGGTGGACATAACTGTTGTAGTTGATGAGCTACAGGATCAGCAACGACAAAGGCGATATCGCGGATGGCATTCAACAAGCCCTCACCAACTACATCATGTCGAGAGATGAGATGGTCAACCAGAGTTCTAGACTTCTCGTGAGTTTTCTCCGTTTGCGCTGTAAGTGCTTCATGCTCCACTTCCTTTGCAAATCTCTTAAAATCAACCGAAGATACCTCAGAGACCAAGCCTACTTGTCGTAGAAACGAAATCCATTCGGGAGAGTCAAACGGTTCTGATGGGAAATCGCATGAAAGCATGGCCTTGAAAACTTCGTTATTGGGATCGTATACACAGGATGCCTTCTTCAAGGTACCATTCTTTGAGGGAATCAGAGGCGTACATTTCAAGATTTCGAGTAACCTTTCTTTTTCTTCATCACCTTCGGTGGAATCTGTCAAAATGGTGTCACGAATATATTCTAGGTGAACTTGTCTTGCCTCCTCACTTAGAAGATTAAAACTTGGCAGAATCGAGTCACAGTACACGTCAACAGCAGAGATGCACGTAAGCTCCAAGAATCTAAACAAATCGGTGACATTTTCCCATGACTTCACAAATGCCATCCCCAATGCACTCTCTAGAACATCAATTTCGTTTTGTGGTACCCCAGCTGGTAAGACAGACACCTTGACTTTTTCGAGTGACATGAAGCCACCGTTTGTTGCAAGGTAAAAGGGAAGCTTCCTAAGATTGCTTTGGTCACTTTCTCGAAGGCAGCTTACACTTGAACAGAAGTACTCCAAGATCTCTTTACAGTCGGACTCCTCTAATCTTTCTCTTATTTCTTGTTGGTTTAAAATCAATTTTTGTTGAAGTGATACAAGAAGCGACGAGGGATCCTTTAGAGAAGATACCAGCATAAGAGCTACAGCTAGCGAGGTCGATGATGAATACATGATGGTTGCCGAAATGGTATGTGAAAGAGCTCTCTGGTTAAGTTCAGGGATACCAAGTTTACGCAAAACCTTTACCAGTTTTGCACTTGCCGCATCGACGTTTGCCATGTCAATCGCTCCCTGTGCCCCCCTTAATGGCAGAAGAAAGTGATCAACTTGATGACGGACTCCAAAGCTTCTTATTTGAGTAACGGGAAGAATACTCCAGTCGAGGAGGGGATGAATGATGGCCTTAACCTGACGAACTTTGCCTCCATCATCAATTTCTTTGTCATTTATTACATCTCGTGTAATATCATAAAGGAATTCCCAAACCCTACATATCCATCGTTGGTTTGGTACTCCTTTCTGAGCTGGAGACCACTGAACATAATTGGATTTTCCATAAGTTTCCCTTGGCAATGTTTCAGCCAAATTGGTGGCAAATGCATCAGCATCCAACGGTTTTAAGACAGTCAACTTTGAACTGTCAGAGGTGCAAAATACTTTCCAGTATATTTCTTCGTGTAAGAAAATTTGGGGAGATCCAGGAAGAAGGTCTTTAAATCGTGACTGAAACTTGGGGTATACGTTTGAAAATAACTGAAGACAATTGTCTTGCGTAAGTAGAAGTGGAAGGCCTGGAAGCTTGTCGAGAAAATCATCGGCCTCTTTACAGAACAATAGCACGAGTTTCACTCCATATTCATCTTCAAACACTGTCTTACTTACGTCACAAGGAATGGGTCCAATGGTGCATAAGGGGTCGTGAGAACCAAACGTTCCGTAAAACTCTATCAGATCACCAGCAGAGATACAAGACGTAGCAACACCAGATCGCTTAAATGAATCGTGCATTTTCATGGAAAAGGCAACAAGGTTGAAACCACTTCTTAGCAACATTCTCTCAAATTTCTGTCTTCGTTTCTCTCTAGCCTCCTCCATATCCTTCTCAGGTATCTTCGCGAAGGGACCAGCATCTGCAAGATTGTTAAAGAACGCCTTTTGTTTTCCCATACCGGTGGGCGGAAGCCACGTGACATCGACGGAGGATCTACCCCTTTGAGCGGAGTGTCGAACGACTGGTAGAAGATTTAACTTCTTTTTATCTATTTCTTGATATACAGAATCAACGAGTGTCTTCCAGTACTGATCCGTAGTCGGTTTCTGGGGGAAAAGGCTCTCCAAAGTACGTATCTTTGCCAAAACCTCAGTTTCAGTGGAACGGTTAAGACCAAAGCCAAGTAACCTCTGCACCTCACCAAGCATGTCAATGTAACAGGAGGCCACTACATCTTCCAATAGGGCATTGTTCCAGTCGCTCCGATATCCAACATGACCAGCTTCGTCTCTCCACAGGTTTCTTCTTGACTCATGGTCCAACGCAAAATGGCCATTGATGTGAACTGGAAGATTTGTTTCAAGCGGAAGGGGCAAAAAGCAGAAAGCCTTTTTTCTTCTTTGCACAGGAGATTCCAGGAATTTTTTTTCCAACAGGCATGCAACGCCACCTCGAGGAAGCATCCCGAGTTTCTGTTTCATAAAGGCATCGACAATGGTGCTTTTAACATCCCCCTGAAAACCAATCTGTTGGACAATTAGCCACTTTTCTTCGTTTCCACGGTTATCAGTGATCTTCAATATGTAGGAAACTTTAACAACAGGACTGTCAGTCGGGAGAATTTTTCCTTGCTTTATTAGGTTTCCAACCTCTTTGATGACCGCGGCAAAGTATTTTCTCTTTTCTTCGTCCTCCTCTGTTAACGTAACTTCCACTGTGTAATAGTCTACCAGCTTTCCGCTTGTTTTTTCGACCTCACAAAGGGTTATCTTTTTGACGTTATCAACGAAAAGAAGAACTTCAAATAACTCTCTCTTCAGCTCCTCCATCATTCTGTCCAGTTTTTCTAGTGTTACAGGCCTTGACGAGATTTTGGACCCTATCGCCATTTCTTCACTTCGCAGAGGAAACCTGAAAATGGTTGAGTTATCTGCTGAAAAACGTTCTAGTTCTCCAAGATAACAGCGGAAAACATCAGGGAAATCCTTCTGGATTTTTTCGCTGACTTCAAACATCCTTCCGGGTTTTTCAGGACTCGCACCAGGTGCGTATCTGCAGTCTGGGTCGAATACTAACAAAACGTCTCCAACATCTCCTCCTTTTGAAATGAATGAGGGCGCATCAGTCAAGTGGTAGACAGCGTTGAACCCAACCCCATACTCGCCAGTTTTACAAGGATCACCCCCCTTGCTTCCTTCGCCAAGGTTCTGTATCCCATCTATGTCTGCCTTTGTAAAGGGCTTGTTGTTGTAGACGCACAACGCAGGACCTTGCAGTGGTTGCCAACTGTCTTCGAAGATCCTTTCCTTAGGGTGGTACCGCGGGTCTTTGATGAAGCAAATTTCAGTCGCCTGTGCATCATCTGCATTTTGAACAAGTTCCTTCAAAATTTCCTTTTCACACGGATACTCTGTCAGAATACGACGAAGACGATTTGCAAGTTTCTCAGTTTGACCACATGGAAGCCCAATCGCGTGAGATTGCAAAGCCTCTTCTCGACGTGTTTTAACTCCCACTAGTTGACAGGTTGGCCAAGGTATTCTATCGTTCACATAGTGCACGTCTGGTTCATCTCCAATCCAGGGGCAATTTCTAATGCAAAGGTCTGACACTGCTCTCATCACCCCTTTTGAGTCAGGAAGAAAAACGGTCTCTTTTTGCACCTGAGATGGATTCATCTCAGAAACGTTCATTACTTCGCTCAATTGGAGTGTCAGGTTCACTGAAACTTGAAGGGTTTGTTCATCTAGTTTAGTCTCCCCAAACTGACTCTTTATTTTCTGCAGACTTGAAATGTAATCCTCTTTATCAAAAACTTCCTTTACCCCTGCTGCTTTCATTATCTCAGGGAAGGTATCGGTAAGTTGCTGCGGCAGTTTGTAAAGATATGGTGCACAATCAGCCGTTAATTCAAATGCTACTTCCCTAGCAGAGAGAAACCTCCTCTCGACCAGAATGAAATTCTTTCCATGTAGAAATTGCATGCACTCATCACCATTGATTCCCACGGTTTTGTTAAGATATTTATAAGCTTCATGGCAAATACGGGTTACTTCTTGATACTTGGTAACATTCAGCAAATTCACATTTGTGGACATTGCGCATTGGATCTGTTGAGTCACATGGCTTAAGGAGGCATCTTTTGTGTCTAGCTTCAAACACTTTTCAACATTTCTCGGAAGGCTAATACCAACCAATGGCTCACTGCAACATACAAGGTACTTTTTATCTTGAAGGAACACTTCCTTTGGTGAAAGCAACACTTGTTGCTTCCCTTGAAGAGCATCTCCTTTCCAGGGAAGTGGAAAGTTTTCTGGTTTTTTAAGAACGGGAAGAAATTTAGCCTGCAAAAGACGCTGACAGATTCCAGCTTGAAGTGAGTACTCTCGTCTTTTTGAGGATGGCGCCATTTTCATCTCCCTTCTCTCCCTTTTTATCTTCCTCTCCATGAACCTCAATAGCTCTTCAACACGCTCTAATGCTGCATTAGGGTCAGTCATGTTTAACCGTTGGATACTCTCAGCTCTCTCTGCTACTTCACTCCATGGAAGATCATCCGAACACATTCCCAGCCCTTCAAGTTTGGTCAGTCTTTGAGGGCTGCGGTACGATGCCTCATTGCCAAAAGGAAACTTTCCTTCGTTAGAGGAGAACAATGCCGCTACCTCCTTTCTGGGGTTTACAAGTTGACTTGGGCACTTGAGAGTCTTGCCAGATGGTGATACCGGAATGCAGGCATGTGCCTTTATCAATGAGTCAAAATCGCGACCATTGTCTAACGCATGAAGCATCAACAGGTCTCTAACGTTAACCGGAATTCTCAGCATGTGAGGAAAGAAGCACTGGCGATAAAAAGCGACCTCACTGTATTTCCTATTGTTCACTGTTCTCTCCTGATTGCTCTCTTCGAAAGACATCAATATATCAGACGGTAGATCAATAACCACTGTATCTCGAGCAGATCTGTAATGGAGTTGAAGAACTTCAAACGCAGCATGTCCAATTTCAGATGCTTCGCGAAATTTTGGATCAAGGAAAACGATTTTGTTGATGTCCACCCACTGACGTCCGTCAGAAAAAAGGGAGAAACCCCTATTGGCAACACTTTTGTAGAAGGACTTCATGAGGGACCTACAGTTGTGTTGTACGGTCGAGCTCTTTGGCCACAGCAAATGGAACTGATAAGAATCTCCATGGGTAACAAGTGACTTGAGGTCGTCAAGAAGAGTTAAATACGCGGTGCAAACCGAGTCTTCCATGAGTACTTTGTTCCAATTAACTCCATGACATGATTTGTCATCCTCAACTTTCCTCTCTAAATTTCGTCTGTCAGCAGCTACAGCAAATGCCCCATTTATGTGCACTGGCAAACCACTGTGGATAGGAAGGGGAAGGTAGCAGAAAACAGAGCCGTTAACATCTACGCCATCAATATTCTTAACGACAGGCGAAGGAACATACCCGTCAAGACCTCTTGAAATCAGCCGAACAGCTACTCCTGCCGACGGAACAAGGGTAGTATCATTATGATCCATTATGAAACTCATAGCCTCACCCCTGCCCATTGATGAGACAACGAGCCATGTCGTTTTCTCTTGCCCACAAGGAAGGCCACCACCAAAAAAGTCCACGCCTTTGTTGGTGAGATTACAGTCGATCTCTATGGATACTGACGATTGTGGAGAATTGCTAACGTCATCTCTACCATTTCTTAGGTCCTCCATAAATCTTGAGGCTACTTGAAGAAAGTTACTTTCTTGGAGAAGCCTCTTTTCCTCTTTGCTTAGCTTCCCTGCTGTGGTGGGTAGCGTGACAGAGGATGACAGCTCCCTTGGTATTCCAACCGAAGAAAGTGATTTTGTCACCTGAAATAGTAAAAGGGATGCACCTGGAGGCGAAGTACGCGGCAAATTGTAAATTCCCACGCGGAGGATATTTTGTGTAAAAAGAAGCAAACTTTCGGCCCCTTCAAGGAACATTTGCAAAAGTTTTTGCATTTCGTGGTCGTTGTAATCCAACTGTTTGATCTCGCTTCTTTGAGCTTGCTCTCTCGTCCTCAATGGAAACCGGAAAAGAGTTCCCCGAAATGAGTTGTCTCTCTTACTTAGACTTAGGTCACAGCCAAAGATTCCATCGAAGGGCTTAAACTGCCCTCTATAGCGTGCTCTTAGGGCCTCTGGGTTCTTGTTGAGATCTATTTTAACACCTGGCTTCGCGGGGTTTTTTATGTGCCTTCTAAGATGTGACATGTGAGGGTCAAAAACTACGAAGTAGTTTGTGCTTAAAAACATGGGCACATCTGTTAAATTGTAGACTGCGTTGAAACCAAGTCCAAATTTTCCAATTTTTTCGGTGTGGTGCTCTTTTGTGGCTCCGCTTAATTTCTCAATGTTTTCAAAGTCCTTTTCCGTAAATTCGGCGTCATTGTAGACCCAGAGGGCAGGGCCCTGGCATTCTTTCATCCCTTCATCAAGCAGGTGGGTCATGGCATCGTTGTTAGCTCTTTCGTCGTATAGGAATCTCACTTCAGTGGCACCAGCGTCGTCTGCGTTTTGGACAAGCTCCTTAAGTACTGCAAATCCATCGGTGTACTGGTCTAGCAATCGTTTTAGTCGAGTAGTTATCTTTTCATATTGGCCGAATGCTTCTATTGATGACTCCATGGGATCTAACACAGTTCTGGTCGAAGAGGTTGAAGCAGATGCAGGCCTGGAGAGAGCTGATGATCGCTTCGTTTCCTTCCTTTTGATTAACTTCAAGATCCCAACTTGGATCTCTAACTACAAAGAATTGCATAATTACACTCACTTCTTTGCCACTTCAGGATTACTGCAGTTTGTTACATAATACCTCTCAACAATATATTAAATAAGGATGTGTAGTGTTATGTAATGTCCAAACCCCAAGCCGAACAACTTGATACTTTGATACTTGATACTTGATACTTTGTTTTGACAGCTAGTACACAGTTATAAGAGAGTTTTCTTGTATGAAAGAGCCTATTTGATTTAATTTAGATATTATGCAGGGTGTTTTAATGATGGCTAAACAATAGCCTCGATTTGGCGCGAACATTTACACAAGTTTTCCCGCAGGCATTATCTGTTCCGAGATACGTATCTCAGTTTCAAGGAAAATTCCGAGTCTCCTCGCACGTTTAAGCCGAATGGTTTGTTCAGTGTAGTTCCAGTGTCTCTTATATATAAATTTTTTTTTTTTTCATTCAATCTTTGCTAACTCCTTCCCAGTGGATTGCAGAAGTTGAAGCGAGAGTATTAAAAAAATAAGTTGATGCACACTTAGAGATAAAACAACTTTCCAAACATTTCACCCTCTTAGTCTTCAAGGCTATATCTACTTCTTCTTGTTTCGAATCTTAAGCGTTTCGATCGAGCCATTTTGTATTAGAGATACCTGTAGTGAGGATCGAGTCTCTGTTACCTCATTGGTTTGATATCTTTCACTGGCGGTGTCAATATATCATTCGTTCCTAAGCTAAGTTGTGCTTATGTCCAAAGTAAGTGCCTTGATTCATGCTACTATCATGGTCTTGCTTTTTCATTTGTTGAGCGAGGTATCTTTAATACCTCAATATGTTTTATCTCGCTTTTGAACGAGGCTCGTATCTACATTTGCCGTCGCTGATGGAAGTCCTACCTTACAGCAATAAATTATTAACTTCTAAATTGAATCAGTCAAGTTAACTCGAAAAGTCTAACTCGAACTTGACTAGACCAGTTTTTATCCTTCTCCAAGCCAGTCCTCACTAGGGGCCTAGGTTATCGAACTTTACATTTTTCAAACATTCACGAAATTTTGTCAGTTGCATCCTACATATTCTCATGAAAAGATTCTTTGCACCAAAAAAGTGTAGTTCCGATAGCATGAAGCAAGAAGAATGCGACATATCAACGGAGAGAGCATCTTAAAAGTTAAATCTGATTTACAGATAACCATAACGAATCACTTTCGTTTACTATACTCACATACAAAGTGATGCTCGTTAACTTTAAACTCGGTTACTCATCTGAAAATCAAAACCATACGAATAATTATAAAGATATGGCAAAAAATATTACCAGAAGAAATATAAAGCCCCAATGGCTTAAAGAGATTTTCCACTCCGTAAAATATAGGTGCAGCTTTACAACTCATATATGATTCACTCGGGAGGGTTTTCAGGGAGCGAGTCTAAAAATTTTTCCTCAGTTAGGAAGTGTGAAATCCCATGGCAACAATGCTCTTCGTCGTTTGTTTCGTTGGAAACCAAAGCACCCAACTGACAATCACTCTGCTCGAAGAGCTTGAACTGTAAGCGTTTAATTGATTGTCTTCCTAAGGGTGTAGCTCGTCCACTCATAATTTACTGAAGTGTGTCGGTATGACTCAGTCATATTGACACACTTCAGTAAATTCCGGAGAAACGCAATTCAGCAAAACATCATTTGCGGCAGTCGGCTCTATTCTCTTACTCCATTAGGAAAACGAGAAAACTATACTTTTCAAGGTGAATAATATTTTCTTCGTGAGGGGCGGGATCAGTTTCTAAACTTCAAACAAATATTGCAGTATTACTCGGAAGATGAGTTGTACATAGAATTAAATATTCATGTAGATTCGGCTGTTATATCTAACAAGGCCAACTAGTCTTCCTCATATTGTTCTCTTTTATCATGTTTAAAATTTTAAAATATTGTCTTAAGCCAGACAATGCCATAATTACACCTGACCACTACTAAATCCTAGGTTTGCTCAAGTCAAGAGCACTTACTTCAGTTCTGTTATCAAGGGAGAGTAAGTCGAAATTCAATTGTCACAGCTTAATTGTGCTAATATCTGAAAAAAATCAAACACATTTAGGCTAGAAATTACGAATTGAACTATCATTTGCAACGCCCAAAAGCTTCATAAAACAACTAAGAATATTTGGAAGTGAGGTACAGACAATTCTCTCAGTACTTGGGTCTGCGACTCAATCGTCCGAAAAAGATCTTCACAGACGAAAATTACAGCACGTTGTCCAAGAGACTTCTTCTGTCTACGGTATAAGTAATAACACCTCAATAGGACTCACTAAAGCTTGTCGAACGATTGCATCAGACAAAGGTTAAGAAATTAGCAGATTGTCAGGGTGGGATCCAAGTTAACTTTGAAGAAAGGTACAAAAAGCGACAAAAAACTGACAAAAAATAATAATGTAAGAGCCAACAACATCTGCTGCATCTGATGGAAAGAAGCCTCTGGAAACGCTTGGTAATTTACATCAATACGAAGCAGCAAGATCATATCAATTATTTATCAACATCATAATGAGTTTTGCACGAATCTCAATGTTTACTTACAAATTTAGAACTTAACTTTCTCGGGCTTAATAATTTTTTAGTGTAACACAAAGACTTTTGAATGCCTGAAATGCAATTTTGAACAGGTCTAATAATACAAGAGGGTATGAAAATTCTGACAATACGATGAGGTCCTTAATCATGAAACACACATGAGGAAATGACAAAACGAGGCTATTTATCAGTTCAAAAACACAGAGTTAATTTACACGGTTTCATATTGCATATTGTCAGTTCTAACATGTTCTCAGAACGTAGCCAAAATTCCGAGAAAACCATCGCATGTTTAAGCTGCGTCAGAGCACCTCGATATCAACATTTTGTCAACACATCAGTACCTTGACGTGGTTGTTATCTGATCACTATAATCACAAGGATCGCTGGAGAAAAGTTCCGAGATTCCGGAAGTCCTTGTCCATCACACCGAGCGGTGTCGGCGACTGTCGGCGAATGCAAAGATAACTGAGGGAATGTCAACAAATAATCTAACTATGATTGCTGAACTTTTCTCAGCGACCGTGACGATCACGTGAAAACCAGCTCGATACATTTGTCATCCCTAAGTTTTAGCATCTTATATCAGATGCTGAAGAGCATTATCTCAACTGACAGCAATTGGATTTCACGTGACTAAGAATTTTACTTTCCTCGTTGCCTTGAGGTTCACAAACTTGAAGAACAGAAACCACCAAGTTTCTATTCATTAAGAAATTCACTCCTTAAAGGTAGACTGATACAAAAATTCTGTCACAATTCACCAACAACGGAAAAGACCGCTTCAAGTTTGAGGTATTCCAAGTGACAAAAACCTAGCCTAACGCGACGTCAATAATACTTCCCAAATTCATTCCGCAATTGTGGTACCAAATTGTTATCTTTAATAAAAACATGCTTCAAAACCTTCCTACTTTGTTCTTCATTTGCAACACTGTCAATTCATCAATAATTGCTGGCCACGAAGATAATTTGAATAAAAATGACCCTTACTAAGAATTCGAGGGTTAAAGAAAAATAAAAACGTGATTCTAGGAAAATAAGCAGCAACTTCCGGTTACGTCTTTTTCCCTGAGGAAGGAGGGGGGGGAGTAGGGACACTGTGGATCTCTTGGTAGGGATCTAACATCCGTCTTTATAAATCCTGATCCTATTTCAGACCAGAAAGTTCCATTTCCACTTTCTGTCCGAGGACATGGCCTATGATTTCATTTTGGTTTTCAAACCTAACGTTTGAACGTTGCACTTGACTTACGAAGCGATTACGATTTGTTGAAGTAAAGCGTTCATAAACTCTGCATCAATGCCAAAGCCAAGAATAAAACTCACACGAGAATTCGTCTGCTGGCAAAAGGAATTTTTTTTCCTGGTTGCTATATCATTCATCGAGTGTATGTGTTCGCGTAGTTCCGTTGAAAATCATTGTTTTTTTAATGACCATAAAGTTCAAACTCTTGACCCGTTTTCTGAAATATTCTTTGGGCTTTGTTTTTACATATAGAACTCTTGCAGAGAAGAAGCCTCCTCTCTCTTACCCGACGGGGCATCCTAATAATATACAGTTTATCATGACATACAGTATTTAGATGTCAGCCGCGGAACTGACAAAGAAAACTGAAATGATGGGTAGTTCGCGTTCAACAGTCGACAGGTTCGAAGTTCGGTAACATAAGGTTTAGTCGCTTTGGTATTTTCAGTTAGCTACACTGTAAAGCAAGCTTTTATGGGAATTATTTTTCTTTTAGTTGATTATCAGATAAAATGCATGTTGATTTCCTAAGCTTGAATTGCAAATTGAGATGCTTCTAGTTACTTATTAATGTTGTCTGCGAATGAAATACCGCGGAAGGAAACACACACTCAATACATCTGCATACCAATCAATATTCTTTAGTTTCTAGCAATTCATCGTGCGCATTTTGATTTCATAAAAAGACTTGAGATACAAGGTGGTGGCAAAACACAGCAAAACGCAGTAAATAGCGAAGACAACATCACCAAAGATGGAACGAACCTGCTTTCAATACCTTGCGTCTATTGCGAAACATTGATCTGGACTGCGTTTAATTATAATGTAAAATGATCCTATAGGTTATTCGCATCCTTAGCTCTGCCGTAGCAATCCCTTCCAGCCCACAGACAGGCCAGATGAATCTAGTCGTACCTTTCTTTGCGATATTTTGCAACATACGAGTATCTAACTCATCTTCTGTTTCCTTTCTGACCAAAATCAAATAAAATTAATTTTGCAACGACTCGTCTTCATCACGTTCCATTTTAGCTTCAAAACATGCTGGCGTCTAAAAGTGATTCGCACGAGGAACAGAATGATGATTTAACTATTTGAATCTCCAGAACAATATCTACTAGCTAAAATGTAGTTATGTGTATAATATTGATTTGATTCGACATGGCGTCGCTCTGGTCCATCACCACATTCTACGATACACCGACAAGCAACATGATTTCGCCGCACAGAAATCTTTCCCTCTCAGGATACTTAGCCATGTTCACATGTTACTCACCTTTGTATAAAACGGACGAAGTAGTCCCAACCGACTTTCAATGATTTACGGAAACGTTCTGTCTTGATAGGGAATGAAGACCTTCTTCGAGTAAAGTAAATTCTCGGAAACTGTTGGGTGGTTTCCGACAGTACATTTCTGGGAAAACACAGTCATTTGCATTTCACGTGACCATCACCGATCCAAGATGGCGGATACCCGGAAGTGACATTAGTTTGTCTTGTTACGCACCTCAAGAAAACCTTTGCCTCGCAAAATCGTTTTCGTCCTATGCATTAATAATTCTTTCACCATAAAATGTGGTTCAAAGGGGATGGAAGTATCATTCCTGGATAAAGATATTGTGTCCTAAAAGGAGAATTTGAATCGTACGGCGTTCAATTAGCGTGTTTACGATGCTGTCTGCATGAAAGTACGTGAAAGGTGATAGCAAGTCGTTTACAAACTCTTCCAATTTGCTGAATGTTTACAAGGATACCTGTAACGATTATTGCTTAAGCCGCTGGGTAAGAGCCGAAGCTATGAAAATTTAAATTAACCGTGAACAAAAAAGCAACGTCAGGAAGTATTCAAGCGTCTCCCAAATATTTTGCTTTCTATATTTTACCACAAGAAACAAAACATGAAAAAACAGACATAAGCGATTGAAGGCTTGATCATGTAAATAATGATATTATCTGGGTTGGAGTATCAAGTCCAAACACCAAACGGAATACATTAGCTGGGGGCGGAGTTCTGTCTAAATTGTCTCAGCCCCTGCAAGAAGATCTTCTTTGTTTGATCGATCATCTCTTGGTAAAATTTCAAGTCCTCTTCTTTGGCTTTCAGTGTGGAACTGAGTGCTTCTTTCAACGCGTCGTTTTCGTCTGTCTGGATGGTCAGCCTACACCAGAAAACGAACAGATTCTATCGATCGAACCTGATAATTTTCATGTAAGGTTACGGCCGAATATGACCCTTACGACAAATAATTCACAGTATCAACGAAGGAAGCTTTCCCCTCACTTAAGGAAATAAAAGACAAATCTCGAATATCGCATAGCATCGAGGTTCGGACACAAAAACACAGTCATTAAAAAGAGAGCTAATGGCTAAATTAAGTTACGCTCCCTAGTACAACAGCGCTATCAAAATTTTGGAAAACTTTTGGCGTTTGTTCCTCATCAGAGCGAATTGTCACACAAGGTAGAAACTGACCACTTTGCAAATGCCGTTGGCTCACCACGGATTTACAAAAATATCTTCGATCATGACATAGTGCGGTTTACAGTTCGTGTAAGCCACACAAAAATAGACCGAGTGGGGTATTCACGTTCCTTACCGAGTTGCAAGATCGTCCAAGTCCTCTGGCTTTCCTTGTCTTTCCTGTCCTGTGCCCCCGGACCCATACCCTTTGCCCCGCCCTTTAGCCACGCCTTGTCCCGACTGGACTCTACTCAGCTGCTTCTCCACGTGAACGACTTGACGTCGTTCCTGTTGCCATTTGTTGATAGCCTCTAACTCACTGTTTTTAGCTTCATCGACCCTGAAAATATAGCACACATTTATATAATAAATCCAAAAGCAGTTAGCAAATGAAATTTTCAACATATGACCTCTCCTTTTTATATAGCGAATTTTACGTATGAGATAGAAAAGGAAAAAAATAACCAACGAACGACGGTACGAAAAGCTCAAGGGGAAAAGTGTTCTAGTTCCGGTTGTAGGAGGGTCGTGTGGCCCTATCTGCCAGCTAAATTGCTGAACGCCTGATTAACAATCACAGCAACCCCTACTTGTAAACCGATTTTCACCTTCAACAACTCTGCAATCAGTTTCTTATTCACTGAATCATCCGTTAGTTTCCCAAACCACCGCAAATCCTTCGCGTTCCTACTGTCATAAATACCTTTGTGTAAATTACCTTTTCTGCAAGAGAGTAACCAGTTCTAGGAGCCGATCCCGCTCAACTTCAGCCGCCTGACACAGGGACTTGCTCTCATGTAGTTGAGATTTTAATAATTGGATCTCTTCACTGAAATAACCAAAATTGAGTAAAAACCAGCGGGCTGTTTCTTTCGAAAATAAATTACGGCTAAACAATGTTATAAGGAAGCCACTGGTTGACAAAATTTGAGGCAGTATTCCTGGTGCAGCTCTCAACTTAGGGACACAACAAGATTTCTAAGAGACACAAAAAGGAAATTCTGCGTTGATTGGTTAAAATTCTGCGAAACATCGTTTCTTGCTAGCCGATGTGGAGTTTTTCCTTTTCATTTTCTCATTCATCCTTTTGCTTTTATTTTCTTTCTTGCATAAAGTAACCAGTAGTACCACTTTTTACATACCTGCCTCCAACACTGTTCCGGCGTCCCCTACTTCCACGTCCACCACTTGGTGGTGTGGGGGGCAACTGGTATCCCTGTGCTGAATTCCTTCCCGACGTGCCACTCGCACTTCCTCGTGACATCACGTGTCGCCGAACTGGACTGCCAGGAACGGATGGACCCTGGGTCTTAACAGGCCCTTCTGAATGATACTGCAAAGGAGTCACCTGTCTTTTATGTGACATGTAACTGTTATTTTGAAATCCTACTCGCTCGGCCCTCTCCACATGGGGCCCGTTGGATAATGCTCCCTCCACATGGCCGTTTACCGGTAATGGTCCTTTACAGACCGGCTCATGAGGGGCAGCATTTTCAAAAATATTGTTATTCAGCCTTTCTTCATTTGTCGGTAAGTCCTCTGTACCACATGCTACAGATTTTGTCTCGCGCTCGCATAGCTCCTTATATTTCGCGTTAGTGTTTTGCAGAGTTACTCTCGCCTTACTGAGTTCCTCTTCAAGCCGCTGTATCCGTCCATCTCTTTCTTGGCATGCCAATGTAAGGTGTTCTATTTGCGCCTTGTCTTGTTGATTGTTCATTAGTTTAGGGGGTGAGGAAGCTTCCTTTTTAGTTGCTGCACTCTTCAGCTGTTGTTGCTCCCTCTAAAACAAATGATATGACTCCAGTAAGTTTAATTCCAAGATAACACCGGAGTTAAATCATCTTACCAGGAACATTTGCAATCCAGAAGCAATCGCCACTCACAATGTCGGAGGAACATACCCTCTTCTTATTTCTTATTTCTTATGGTTGTTTGACTCCATTTTGAAAGGAACGGGTGCAAGCCCCAGTCTGGTAACTTTGCTGTGCTCTTATAACAGACATTTCACTCTCACAATGTATCTCTCCACTATTGAGTACATTGGACAGCCAGATAATAGTCATTTAGCAAACTCGGAAAATACATGTACCAACTGGGGTTGTGTGCGATGAACTATCAAGCCATGCAGCAGAAGGAGCGAAACTCCTTGCCGTGTTACGCAACAGGTAGATCGATTGGCTCCAGTATTTGTTATTGATACTGGGCTCGTGAAGTTCAACCCTATTTGTAAAACACTACCAGAGAGTTCTTCCCAGGTAAATCTCCGCTAACCAAAAACACGTAGGTTGACCGCGCAGTCAACCTTTGCTGCACACGCGCAAAGTAATTACAGCAACAATAATAAATACAAAGAGCTACGCATTCAACCGTTGAACAGACCATAAGAGCTGCAATAAGTTCATCATCGTGAGCTCCTTTCTCCAGTAGAGTTTGGACTTGAGCCTTCAGTCCCTTTAGTTCACTAGCCAGCACCTTATTGCGCGCTTTAGCTGCGTCGTGTTTCTGTTGTAACTTGGTGTGTTCTTGGTCCAAACTCTCTAACTCCGCCTGAGTTTTCTATCAAAAAAAAGTATCATGTACAATATACCAACGAAATATAATTCTCAACTACTCGAAATTGAAGTCGTTTCTTTCCCTCCTTCTAAGCGCATGAGCAAAGAATAAATACGTTTACGTCGAGTATGTTATTAGAGACATTTAGATGACACGTTATTAGGGAAATACAAATAAAAAAATATAGCACGAGAAGCTCAATTTTACACATAATGAAGCAAAGTTTGAGGTGTTACTTTTATTTGGCGTTCAAGAGCCTTCTCTTAGTTGCAAAATGAAAAAAATGCTAACAGATGGTACCTTATGTTTGTCATTGTGCCTCTGTTACGCTATACTGACGCTATTCCCGGGACCCCTCTTTTTGCTATGATTTTATATACGTCTCTCACCTCTTGCGCCTCCTTACGATCTTTCTCGATCTTTTTTAACACCGAGCGATGTTTTTCGTCATACTGAGAAGAAGCGCTGGATGGTGACATCATGGCTGATCTCAGAAGTATGTTGTTTGATGTGGTTGAGCCGCTACGAGCCACCTGACTCAACTGTGCCTTTAACTCTGTAACCTGTCGAGTGGAATACATGACCAACATTCAGAGTCTTAAAATAGCTGAAGAGAATGTTGCTCTCTTTGCAATGACATCTGCAAATAATTAGACATTCTGGTCTTCTCGCATGCTAAGAACGATAAACCACAACCCCCCTCTCCAGCATCTTCTCTTCACTGGTTAGCAGGGGACTTTGAATAACCCACGCATTTCTCAAAAGAAGTGGGGAACGTAACTTAAGTTGTTGTGGTCTGCACTTGTTTCAAAAAGTAAAGGGGAACCAACATTTTTTAAAATTGTCATATGCTCGTGGCCAAAGAGTTCCAAAAGTGTCGTAAAGCGCCTTAGAGAGTATTAGTATGGATAATGTGCTATATAAACGCCTCATCGTTATCACGACCGTTACAACTTTCTATTCCATTCTCAAACTCATAATAATTCATGCTGAGAAAACAAAGGAAATTACAAACGTGAAGGAGGTTTGGATGTGTGATCTTAATTATCATAAAATTTGGTGAACTTTTGCTTTGAATTTCTCCAAGAATTATAAATGGTTTGAGAAGCTATATCAAACTTTCAAAAGGGCGTTTTATCCGATATCCACACACCTTGAAGTTGGTTGAAAAAAAAATCGGCTGTGCATCGTTTTTTCAACCACTTCTCGGCGTTTGGATATCGGATGAAACACTCTTCCTAGTGTTTGATATATTACTTGAAGCACTAAAAACAGCTGAAGTTAAGAAGAGCTTTAAGACAAATTTTACCTTGTTTTGTAAAGACGTGATCTGCTGTTGTCGTCCTCTCCAACCACTGGAGTCATTCAACAGTGTGGTGATGTTGAAACCATCCCCAACCTCCTTTGCAAGGACCTTAAATGAATAGAAAAAATAAAAGAATAAATACACCAGCATTAACTGAAATTACATGACACTTTAAGATCGTAAAATATTTGCAGATGAAAAACCTCAATAAGTGAGTGTTCTCACCTTGTGTGCAACCTTTAAATCTTTCTTCAGTTTGTCACATTGATTCCTAAATTCTGCCACTTTATTGTTTGCTTGGCTCAGTTTGTCCTGCAGAGAGGCAATTTCAGAACTGTCCTACAAAACAGATGAATCTATGGTTGGCATCACATACTGCAGGGTGCTGGTTATATATAATTTATTTTCTACACTGTCTATCACTTTCTGTACGATATTACAATGGAACGCTACTAACTCAAACTTGGTTAACTCAGTAACTCTAAAGAAGAGCTGATTTTGGTCATTTACTATCACCTGACTCGACCCCCCTCCCTCCCCTCCACCCCAACTCAAACCATTTTTTTTTCCCTTAGGAGTTTGGTTCAGCAAGGTTCAGGGTTTTTTCGTGTGAGTTCAAAAATTTGTATATGAATGACTTGGCAGCTACCAGTACCTTTTCTGAGTCTGATGACTTTGATTTAATTTTCCGCTCTTCACCAGGCTGTTTTGAGTTACTCTGCAGACTTCCTGAGGATACCATCTGGCAAACAAGAAAATGAAAGTTGTCCAACAGTGCAATAGAAGTTGAAGAGTAAAATATTTTCCACTGATTTGCATTTGATAATTTTAAAAGTAGCATATTTTTACATTACTGGTAAGCATCTAGTCAAGTCTTTCAACAAATGTCAGCATGCATTAAAGAAAGAAAAAAAAATATGTGCTAGAGTTACCTTTTGTTTAAGAGTGGACAGCTACAAAATGAACAACTCTCATGCTACTATATCAATGCAATGTACCTCTCTTTCCATCTCTCTCATCTTCTTCATCAGTTGCCTTACTTTGTTACGTTCACTTTCCAAGTCTGCAGTCAGGTCTCTGTTCTTCTTTGACAGTTCCATGATTCTACCAGCAGCAGTGTCAGCAGCCACTCCAGTGCCTAAGAGAACAACAGAGTTACAAAACTCAAATGGAAATTCTACACAAAATACACATATTTATGTTCCATGAACCATAAACCATAACTATATGCTGCATATGACAAAAAAGTGCATGGTTTCTTTAATGTCTCCTGCTAACCAGTAAAAAGAAGATGCACAAGATGAGGCCTGCAGTTTTTCATCCTTTCCAAGAAGACTAGAATGCTAACCAATTGTGCATGTCATGACAAATTCAGTTATTTTAACCCTTTAACTTGCAAGATCTGATTTTTAATTCTCTCCTCTAGCTGCTACAGATTTTCTTGCAAACTAGTTATGAGAATTTGGTAATGAATCAAGATAACAACTTCTACTTGATAAGTTTGAATTTTCTCTTTGCCTTTTCACTGGATAAAGTACGGATATTATGGGGAAAAGTTACAAGTTAATCACTTCTGGGAGTTGAAGGGTTAAGACCCAGAGTGTTGGTTCGGTCTGGGGCTTAAACCCTCGAAATACTGCACAGCAGCTAGGCACTCTAGAACATGAAGTAACCAAGTGCAGTTAAAGGGTTGCATGGACAAAAAGCCCAAAGTGACTGTCAAGAGACCAAATTGAATACAGCTGCAGATTCTTCCTTCAGATTGTTTTATAATCCCTTGTAGAACACAAGGAGAAGCATATGTTTCCTCAAAAATCATTTGGGGCCTCTACCTTTCCTCTACCTTTCCTTGAACCACTTAAAATTTTAATGACTGAGGATTGATCATAGAGATTTTTGTTCTGACTAGTCAAGCAACACATATTTTGTAATAAAATCCCCTTTTGCCAGGTGAACATGCTACTTGAAAAATAGCTGCAAACTAAGTTTCTAGATAACTTAATCAATATTACTTAAAAGTGTAGCAATAGGGCAGCTCCGCCATCTTTCTGTGAACTACACACAACCCAAAATTCCTCTATTTGCTCTGACGAAGAGCTAACATTTAAAACATCAGCTTTAGAAGCTGTCTCCAATAACCAATTCTTATTATCAACTCAGTTGCTAAAACCAAATTATCTTACAGTTCTCTGCAACAATGCAGCCCCATTTTTTTAAATAATAATTATACACTATACCCCTTCTGACAGCTAAATTTATCTGAGAATAGAGACCAAATCTGAAATGCTGTCCAAAAAATCAGCAATTGACTGGCTTGAACACCTGAAAAACCCTCATTCTATACAGAAGCAACATTTATTATGTCATTGTTAAATTAGTTTTTACCTGCCAAAGCCTTTTTCTCTTCATCTCGAGCTTTTCTCAGAATCCTCATTTCTTCATCTCTCTCACCAAGAAGCTTGTAAAGTCTTCCATTTTCATCTTTAAGAACCTGTATGATTTATGAGAATGAGTTTATGCAAATGATACCCTCATCTGCTCAAAGAAATTTTATTCTTGTAACCATGTCAAGATGAAGGACCTATCTGGTAGAGCCTTAATCTAATAAAATGCCATGGACTAGTAACAGGAAATCTTGAAATCCTACTCTAAGATGTCAGGGAAAACCACTTTTAAAACACTGCCTGACTACTTGGTGCAGGGGTCAAGAGAAGAAATTTTTTCTGCAGTATAATTTTTTTTTTCTGGATTGTACTAAGATTCCAGGATAGCAAATAATTTTGGATTTTTACTTTATAATCAACTCACCCTTATAGTGTCTTTCAAGTCTTCAAGTTCCTTGTGTATGGGTGCCTCTTCCCCAAAAGGCACCTTGGAATCAAGCTGAAAGTAACAACATTTGTAACTTTTAAATTTCAGCATTACAGAGGTACAAAAAGACCCTTTGACCCCTAGGACTGACTAAAACGTAATTTATCTTAACAATATCATCCCTGAATCAAAATTAAGGTCACGAGAGTAAAAGATATGATCACCAACTAAAGAAGCTCTCGATTGTTTAAAAAATTCTCTATGTAAGCACCTCAGGAAATGTATGGAGAACAGTATGGAGAATATGCGTGTTGATTTTTGGGTGTAGAAGGTCGATAGTGTAATACTAAAATTATTTTTTATTAACAGATCCAAGTTACGTTCTGAAATCAGTATAAAAAGTAACCGCTCATTTTATTCTCCAGAGCAATAGTGTTCCCTTGTGTACAAATTGTGAGCAAATCGAGAATAAAAATCCAAGTTAGTATGCTTATTCTATGTAGTACTCAAACTTTGAAATTAATCAAAACAAAACTGACATACTTTTAAGTCCAAATGATCGCTTTTGTAGTCATGTCCCCAGAAGCCTTCAACCGTTGTAGCTTCTTCGTCGTCCCTGGATGTATTGTCAGAATTCTTGGTCTTTCGTTGCTTTCTGGCGAGAAGCTTTTTCTGCTGTTGTTCCTGTATTAGCTGGAACTGTTGTCGCAACGATTCGGACGCGTCCATGCTCATATTTTCAAAAGGTTTTTAGAGGTTTATTTTTAGCCATGTTTATCCGACATTTTGTTGCCAACAGACAAAGTTGTCGTACTCAGTCTTCTCTCTGATACTACTTCAAAGTGAGGTTCATCAATCAAAACATGGCGGAGATTTCTTATCGTGTTACAGTTTGATAGCAGATTTATTTAATTTTTGCCCTGTTTTTTTTTTCTCCTCCGATTTGTAGTGAAGAGATTTAAAAATTGTAATATAAGTCCTTTAGTCTGATGAAGGAATGGAAAACTACGAAAAAATCAAGAGTATTGGTCGTGGTGCCTACGGAACTGTATATTTGTGCAGACGAAATTCCGATGGATGCCATGTTATCATCAAACAAATTCCAGTGGAAGAAATGAGTAAAGAAGAGAGAGTAGCCGCTAAAAACGAAGTTCAAGTGCTTTCCATGCTGAAACATCCAAATATCATCGCATATCTTGAGAGTTTCGTCGAGGAAAAAGCGCTAATGATAGTGATGGAATATGCCCAAGGAGGTACCATGTACACCTTTCTCGAGGAACGCGAAGGAAAGCTGCTTGACGAAGACGAGATAATACGACTTTTCGTACAAATTGTGTTGGCTCTTTGTCACGTCCACCAACAAAATATCCTTCATAGGGATCTTAAGACTCAAAACATTTTACTAAACAAGACAAGGAAGGTTGTAAAGATCGGAGATTTTGGCATCTCAAAAATACTGAGTAGCAAAAGCAAGGCTAATTCAGTGATAGGCACGCCATGTTACATTTCGCCTGAACTGTGCGAGGGCAAACCATATAATCAAAAAAGTGATATTTGGGCTCTTGGATGTGTCTTATACGAACTAGCTACGTTAAAGAAAGCGTTCGAGGCGTCCAATTTACCTGCTTTGGTAATGAAAATTATGAAAGGGAACTTCATTCCGATTTCGGAAAGATACAGTGAAGATTTCAAGAATCTTGTTTTAAACATGCTTCAGGTGGACCCTGCTAAAAGGCCAACTCTGCGGCAAATCATGGCACAACCGCTTGTTGTCAACGCTTTGTTTAATCTACAAACTGATGTGGGACGAGTTCCATGTAACAGAGCGCCAAGACCAACGGCAGGAATATCAGGTGAACTTAATTTTTACTCTCATCTCAGTATAGAAATATGACAACATGGAACCTTTCTCTAACACCTTCATTTAAAGAAGTGGGAAAGTTTTCTGTATAACTCCAGTATAACCCCATACGGATCAATATCAAGGCAACTGCCCACCTACCCCTCCCCTAACTCAACATTAACCCTAAGTTGTTATCAATTGACTGTTGTTGAGATACTGATATTGATCCCCCCATACTATTCTCAGACAAAGCTTTAGTCCAAGAGGTTATGTCCTGCTCTCACTATTATTTCATCTATTCATTTAATTATCTTTTCATTTATTTATTCAGCACCATAAACTTTTCAAAGAGTAGTTTTCAAATATAAAAAAGTGGTAAGGAGACCTCTTGAAGCCATAGGACTTAGATTAACCCTTTACACCCTAACATCAGTATGTATATTCTCCTTACTGTTCTCTTTACATTTCCTAATGTGCTGGCAAGGAGAATTTGTTTAACAATCAAGAGGTTCTTCAGTTGATTATCATTTCCCTTATTCTCATGACCTTAATGTTTGATGCAGAGGTGATATTGAAAGGAGAAATTAGATGCTAGTCACTCTTTGGGATTAAAGTGTTCAGGAAGTCCCCTTGAAGAGACTATAAATTATGAGTTAATTATTTTTGTTAGGTGGAAATACTGAGGAGCATGACAGATCCTGACTGGTTGTCAATTTTGCTGTTGTGGTTTTTTTTTTGTGTGTGTGTGTGTGTGTTATATTTCATCAAGGAATTGTTGGTGAAAATGAAGGATGTGTAAATGAAATTTGAAACTGAAGAGCATAACAAATTCTGACTGGTCATTTTGATTTTTCATTTGTTGATTCTTTTTGTTGTTGTTGTTGTTTTTGGAGTTTATTTAAGAATGGAGTTTTACAGAACCTTGCCATTAGTCTTGTCAAGGAATGACTTTAGATTCAGGAGAACCAGTCAAGTTTCAAACCCTGTCTCGACTGACTTTGTGTGACTGATTCCTTAACGAGAAAATTACATGCATAGGTTACCATAGTTATTGCAAGGCCTTGTTCTTTCATGTATGAATTGTGGATAGGTTTGCTGAACTGGTTATATGTGTTATACAAGTTAATTAGTACATGTAGAATTTTGAAGCAACCATTCATGCTGGTCAATTCTGCAAGGCAGTTGTGCTGGGCATATCTGTTTAAAGTACAGAAAATTATATGTAATGTTTACAAGCTATTTTCCTATTTACAGCTGTCATACCTCCAAAAAGTGGACGATCGTCAACTGGCAGCCGTCCCACAGGCAATCAAGTCTATCGCACCAGCTCCACAAACTCAGCATCTGTAATTCTTGAAGGACTTCCAGATTTTAAGCCACGAGAGCCTCAGTATGTGGTGTACCTGTGGGGTGGTGGCATCAGATCACCAGCCAAACTGACGCTTCCGCAGCATGACTCTGACGTGGTTCAGGTAGCCATAGGCAGGGCACTGAAAACAGGGGTCTCCAAAAGTGGACGCATGATAATCTGGGATTCCAATAAAAAGGCAGTGGATATTTCTTCAGATGGAGCTGAGAAGGGGAGATTGTTAGAAGATATGTGGGTACCAAGGTTCCTGGAGGGGCAGTCTGGAGTGACAATAGTTGAAGTATCCTGTGGGGATTTCTTTGTGGCTTGCTTGACAGGTGAAGTTTTTAATGAACCTCAGTGTAAGATCCAAGCACGTGCTAGTTATTTTTTTGTGTAATTTGTGTTTATTTATTTTGTTCTTTATCTTTTTTTCATACCTCCATGTTAGTGTCTTTTGTTAAGTTTCTTTGCATTTTTCTTTGTCAGTTACAACTTTCCACATGTTTCTTACACCACATGTTTTTTTTGCAGTCCTCTTGTATTTAAAGCCAGAGTCTTTTACACATACTCACTTTTTAAGTCAGGTTACCTAAAGTTGTGCTTGGTGCAGTTCTCTATTTTAGAAGTCATTTTCCAGCTATATATTAGGGGTTATCAAAGAAAGTATTTTTGTAGTTTTGCTTCATTTTTATCCATTTTTGTTGGCAGTCTTTTTATCTTAATCAGTTAACTATTTATGTTTCTAGTTTCAACCTACCACTACCATTGCTCTGTAAAATAAAAGTATTTCAAGTTGAAAAGATAATGCTTTTGCGATCACACCCAGACCAGAGAGGTGATTGTGGGGATTGATATCATGCAGAAACTTAATCCACCTTACTAAATGGTGATTTGTGTTTCAGAATAATGTTTTTTTATACCTGCATGTTCATGATCACTTCTTGCACTAAGAGCGATTAATTGCTGTATGGGCTGTTGTATCTGAACAGCCCTTCCTTTCAACTCCCAAGATCTGATTGCCTATTCTCCCCTATAGCTGCTAAGCATGAAAGTTTTTAGTAATTATGTAGTATGGATACATGATGCATTAGACAGGTTAACACTACACTGATATTTTTCAATATTTTTGGGTGCAGTGCAAAATGTTTGTTATTTTAACCCTTTGTTTATTTTGTGTAAAATACAGTGAGTTAAGTTTTCAGACCTAAGCATGTTTAAAAACCTGTACTGTTGATCAAAATTGTAACCCCTGATGCAGCATTAGCGGCTCAGTTATAAAAGTTCTCCAATGTCCCTTGTGTTTATCCTTAGCCAAGTATTACATGTGTTATGTTTATGACAACAAGAGAAAGAGATGCTTTTAAGAGAAAATGGAATTGTCATTTTATGAAGTCCTAATGAAATCGTGGATTTGTTTTTAGATCGTGGAATCCTCATGACATTTGGAAATGGTATGCATGGTGCATTAGGACATGGAAATCACAATGATGTTGGTCAGGCCAAAATTGTGGAACAGTTAATTGGATTTGAAGTTAAGCAGGTAAGAAATATTCTACACCCATCAAAAATAAACAAACAAATAAAATGAAATACATAAACAAAGCATGGTATAGAAACAAAATCATTTCTAGAACATTTTTAATGAAATATGAGGCCTGTATGTTATACTATCTTCATGATGAAAATTATTACAATGTTTCACTTGTCCACCTTTGCAGTATAGCAGTTGTTTTTGTTTCCTTTGTTTTTCTCCTCTTCATCATTTTTCCCCAAGAATGATTGACCACAATTATGTCTCACTCTAATTGCCATGGTAATTAGCACCTTGGTGGTACATGATGGTACATCTATAAGGTTTATAAAACATTTCAACACTCACTCTTTGTGGCCATTGATAAACTGACCTGAGTTGCCTCACAGATAGTTCGCTTGGAATTCCAACTCATTCTTTGACAAAAATGGTATTCAACTGCTACATTAGGTTTCCTTGTAACCAACAGTGAACTCTTATGGTGGTTATCAGTATTTTATGTCAAAATTTTTTTGTGTGTGTACTGTGCTTGCGTGCAATAACTTTCGGAACCGTACCTTTTTACCACAGATTTATTTGATTGTAAATATGTTGTCAAAAAGTGCCCCTTATTATTACGTCAGCTGTTTGCTAAGTGTTACATAATTAAGTAATCTTCATACCGTATATGTAGGTGTCCTGTGGTGCTTCCCATGTCATGGTCGTCACGGCTGACCGAGAACTCTTCTCATGGGGACGGGGTGACAACGGACGTTTGGGGCTTGGAAACCAGCAGTCGTTCTCTCTTCCACAACCTGTCAGTCTTGAACCTGGTTTCACTGCCAAACAGGTCAAATGCGGCGTAGACTGCTCTTTTGTGCTGACATTGAACAACAGGCTGTTAGCTTGCGGTAGTAACAGATGCAACAAGCTAGCGCTAGACACTGAAGACCAATCCGTGGACGAGTCACATATACTGAGACCCATCACTTCCCTGCCCGTGATGGCCGAGCCTGTCAAGGCTGTCACCATGGGAACGTCACACACTGCGGTGCTAACGGACAGTGGTAAATGCCTGACA